CATGTACACGGAGGGAAAGTGTCAGTAACATGCATATCAGTCTCTCCTGGCTCATACTTGAGGGGAGATTGATTGCATCACTATTGGTCTTTGTGCAAGGTGTTGTGTTGAAGGTACCAAACTTTCTGTTCAAGCAGCTGGCACACAGTTCGGACACTTATCGGTACAACACAAGACATGCAACCAGAGGTCTCTTCACAGTCCCCATGTCCAGAACAGAGGCTGGGAAACACACAGTATTAAATAGAGCCATGACAGTCAATACTTTGTAGAGACACCTTTTGCAGCAATTACAGTTGCAAGTCTCTTGGGGTATGTCTCTATAAGCTTGGCACATCTAGCCACTGGGATTTTTGCCCATTCTTCAAGGTAAAACTGCTCTAGCTCCTTCAAGTTTAATGGGTTCCGCTGGTGTTCAGCAATCTTTAAGTCATACCACAGATTCTCAATTGGATTGAGGTCTGGGCTTTGACTAGGCCATTCCAAGACATTTAAATGTTTCCCCTTAAACCACTTGAGTGTTGCTTTAGCAGTATGCTTAGGGTCATTGTCCTGCTGGAAGGTGAACCTCCATCCCAGTCTCAAATCTTTGGAAGACTGAAACAGGTTTCCCTCAAGAATTTTCCTGTATTTAGTGCCATCCATCATTCCTTCAATTCTGACCAGTTTCCCAGTCCCTGCCGATGAAAAACATCCCCACAGCATGATGCTGCCACCACCATGCTTCACTGTGGGGATGGTGTTCTCGGGGTGATGAGAGGTGTTGGGTTTGCGCCAGACATAGCGTTTTCCTTGATGGCCAAAAAGCTCAATTTTAGTCTCATCTGACCAGAGTACCTTCTTCCATATGTTTGGGGAGTCTCCCACAACGGGTTTGCTTATTTTTTTCTTTAAGCAATGGCTTTTTTCTGGCCACTCTTCCGTAAAGCCCAGCTCTGTGGAGTGTACGGCTTAAAGTGGTCCTATGGACAGATACTCCAATCTCCGCTGTGGAGCTTTGTAGCTCCTTCAGGGTTGTCTTTGGTCTCTTTGATGCCTCTCTGATTAATGCACTCCTTGCCTGGTCCGTGAGTTTTGGTGGGCGGCCCTTTCTTGGCAGGTTTGTTGTGGTGCCATATTCAATTTTTTAATAATGGATTTAAAGGTGCTCCATGGGATGTTAAAAGTTTCTGATATTTTTTTATAACCCAACCCTGATCTGTACTTCTCCACAACTTTGTCCCTGACCTGTTTGGAGAGCTCCTTGGTCTTCATGGTGCCGCTTGCTTGATGGTGCCCCTTGCTTAGTGGTGTTGCAGACTCTGGAGCCTTTCAGAACAGGTGTATATATACTGAGATCATGTGACAGATCATGTGACACTTAGATTGCGCACAGGTGGGCTTTATTTAACTAGTTATGTGACTTCTGAAGGTAATTGGTTGCACCAGATCTTATTTAGGGGCTTCATAGCAATTTTGTATAATTTTTTGAAACAAGTTATTTTTGTCATTTCACTTCACCAATTTGGACTATTTTGTGTATGTCCATTTCATGAAATCCAAATAAAAATCCACCTTTTCTATTCATATACTGTCCATACGGTCTATTTCACACCATTATATACATGTACTGTATATATATTTATATTTCGGACTCATTCTGATATTTCTTAATTTCTTTATTTACATTTTTGGGATTTGTCTGTATTGTTTTGTATTGTTAGGTATTACTGCACTGTCCGGGTTAGAAACATAAGCATTTTGCAGCACTTGCGATAACATCTACAAAATAACATTTGATTTGAAAACTATTATTTTTATATCATGGATGGTCAGTCCTTGCATGCATAGCTCTGTCTATGAATTTGAGAGTGGTTACATTTCTCCAGGCCCATCCCTCAGCTTTTTACCAACAGAGGTGAGGTAAATGCTTTGTTATTGTTTCAATTAACTCTTCTAGCTTTAAAGGTACAATCTGCAATATTTACAGCTGTTCAATGGTCATTTCAACATACAGTATATGTATATACACACTATTTGATTGTACAACTGGTTTTAACCGAATCATAATGCAAAATAGAGTTATGTTTTTGTTTGTAAATAATGCTTTTGTAAACAAACCATTTATATCCCTATCTCGCATTTACGGCAAACCAAGTTGCAAGGCTGACGTTCGTCTGAAATAAGGATTAAGGAGTGTGGCCTACTGCCTTCAATGAGCCAAATTGTTCCACTATCTACTTTTTTGAAACATTTCCCTTAAAAAAGGTCCTACAGGACTCATGTAAAATATTCCTGTATTATATTTGTTCCTAAAATAATGATTTATTTTTTTTATTTATTTTTACTTCTGAAGGTTGTCCCACAGAAAAATGCCCCCAACATCCAGTAGGATTTTCCTTGCAGGATTCCTGTAGGACTTTATTGTAAGGGTTGATAGAGGGAAGAAAACATTATAAACTTACCTGGCAGAGGAGATACCTTGATCACCCAGGACAAGGCTCGACCATTGCACTCAGGCTGTGCTGACTTCTGTGAATTCCCCAAATGTGGGAATCTCGACTGCATAATTTGTGGAAGTGGGGAACTGCGTCCGCACTCTCCCTTGATAAAAGAAATGGAAACCTTTAATGTTTACTTATCGCTGGCCAGCAGTGAGGAGGATAGTCAGAGGAAAATAGAAAATTAAAGAACTATAAAGAATTTTTGCCTCTGGGTGTGCTCTTTACCAAAAGTGGTCCGTCCCCTAAATGGACAGAAATACTGTCCAGAAATTACCTTTTTGGACATAAAGAGGCACACCTCCCTTGTTGGTTAAGTCTGTCATGTCATTATTGGGGAATTTGTCCCAATGCATTGTATGCTATTTGAGTGGGCTGTGTGAGGGCCAGCATCGGTTATGAAGGCATGAGGACATTGAATGGTGTAGCAAGTGAGGAATTAGTAATTAGAATACTAGAATGGACATGAACCTTCTTCTGATGGTCTAAAGGTCAACCATGGTTTGCCAGTTCTGTGATAAGAAATTGTGTAAAATAATGAATTTTAAGAATGTATCTGCACCGTATGTTTGTTAGCTATCTAGCCATCCAGTTTTAGAGGAATGATTCCATTATTATTTTTAATTAACTGCCAATATGCCAACATTCCATTCAAACAATGCTGTCAATCCACAGCCATACACTGGCTGAAATCAGTTGATGGTAGGACATAGACAAGTTGTAAATGCAACAAGTACTGATATTGTATCATATAATAGCATTCACAGCTTTCCAAGACAACAAAGTTTGAGACATTTATGGTCTGTTTACATATATTTTAGAGACTATTTATACATACAATGTGTTTAAAACCCGTATAACCTGTATTTATAATTATATGACAAGATTTTAGGTTGACAATAATTCTATTACACAATTTCTGATAAATCACATGCCTTAATTTTATTTTCTTGTGTAAGAAAAAACTGGATTATGCCTCTACTGCAATTCATTCCAATTAGACTGGTTTGGATTTCTCCCATTTTCACCCCTTTCTGGAACTTCGAGGGTTTATCACAAGCTCCTCTCCGTATGTAGAGGACATCCGTAGAGGGCAAACACATTCTGCAAAAAGCATCGTCATTGCTGAAATCACGCAGCATCAATTACTACAATGACCACAATCCATAGCACGGTTTCATGATCGTCACACGGGAGAGGAGCACCACTAGCTAACTCTATACCATAGTTAGCTAAATGGTTTAACGTGTGTATCTAGTATATTATTTGAAATTGTCAGTTATTTTACGAGAAGACTAGCTAGCTACTAACGTGACTGAATGACAGACTGCTTGCTAGCAGTCATATGATAGCAGGTCGCGAGGTGGCAATGCATGCATGAGTCAAACCAAACGACGAGAAGTAAGTGCATTTTGACACTAGGCTAGCTAGCTGTAACGTTACGTTTCGGATTTCGCCCAATAGTGCTAACGTTATATACTATAACGTAATATTTTGTATCGAAACTGCAGCTAACTAGTTAACTTAGCTGACGCTAGCTAACTAGTAAGCCTGTGAAAACGCAACAACATGGCTAGCTAGGTAGCTTAGCAATGGAAACAACATCTGTAGTCTATGAATTGCTAACTAGTTGGTTGTTGCTTGAATTGACTTGATAGTTGACCGCTTGCTTACTGTTAGCTATATCTTTTTTTTTTTTTTATCACAATGATAGACAATATGTTGCTTTTATTTAGCTAAAGGCTAATGGGTTGCTAGCTGTCATCTATTTCCGAGTGGTGGCGTCACGTGAGTTGGCTCACCTCTTTCCAGTTTAGAAACGATTGTTATGCCGGTGTGCGTTCTGGCTTGCGGGCCAAACACCTCTACATTCAGGTTGGTTTTCCATCTAGGAGCGGGGATTTCATGGGATGAGGGGTGGACATTATCCAATGCACTTATGGGCTAATGTCTCAACATTGTCATTAGCTAACTAACTAGCTGTAATCTTTAGCTCCAACAGCTACAGCTAGCTACCTGCTACTGCTAGTTAGCTGTCATTGGTTAGCTAGGTATGTATTCATTTTGCTTACCAGACAAATGTCACTGGTTTTGCTAGCATAGGTTCAATCCATAGAAAAATAACATCCAGTTATTACCCTTAGTTAAATGACTGTCTATCTCTAACCTTGTGATCTAATTAAGTAGTGCAGTGCACACAAAGTGGATTACTTGCTAATCTAGCAATGTACTATACCAAGTTGTCCACCTAGTTGGCTCACTGACTGACAGGTCTGGTGACGTTTGCCACTGAAGATTGTCTTGCTGAGAATATGACATTGAGTGTGGTGGCTACCAGTTACCTAGCTAGTGACTTAGTTGTCAGTAGCACAACTAACAACAGATGTGTTTCTCTTTCTCACAGGGGAACTGACTTTATGACTTGAAGCACAATGACCACATCATTGCATTGGTTTCTCATGAATTTGTCCTGGATCAAGGCCACATTGTGAGGGCAAGAAGACAGCGTTACGAAGGACCATGAATCTTCACCAAGTCCTTACTGGGGCTGTCAACCCAGGGGACAATTGTTTTTCTGTAGGTAGCATAAACAACCAACCATTCACGGTAAGATATTTCAGGCAGTCGGTCTCCCTACATTTTAAGCATGCTTTGGAAGTGCTCCAAGCTAGTCCAGCAGCGTCATTGACTTAGGGCACTGTTCAGAGATGAGAATCTGATACTATACCCACAGTCTTTCACTGAGCCGATCAATATCAGACTATTCTTGTCTCTGTCCTCTAGTGCAGGCAAAAGTTACATTGTGCTGCTTATGTCGTGTGACAGTCTGCATTTGTCTGTACATTTATTCATGGATTTAGTATGCATACTACGGATATCATCTGCTTGTCAGTGTCATGCAATGCAAAGTCATGCTAGAAGTTAAACTCTCATTGAATCCCGCTCAACAGTTCTTTGTGATTATTGTCCTAACTGAGTGACATCCCTCCCTCATCCCACCCTCTCATGTTATAGGCATATGCCTCGGGCTGTGACGTTGTGATTTTGGGCAGTGACTTTGAAAGGCTACAGATCATCCCAGGAGCGAAGCATGGGAACATCCAGGTGGGCTGTGTGGACAGCTCACTACAGGGAGGCCAGGTAAGATACATTGTTGCCTGTTGCTCCTGAACCTGTTCTTAAATCAAGTACAGCCCTAACGGCAACTTACTGAGAAACTACACCGTCAAGCATAGTGCAAGCATTCGATAAGTGTTGTTTTCGGCATGCTATACCAGAAGCAGCAAACAGAGACGGCATCAACAGCTCGAGCTTGAAGCGTAAAAATACTCTTTAGGAGCGTGAGCGCTATTTACTTGCGTGATGCCTGATGTAGCATCTCTGATTGATCAGTGGGCCTGTTTCGCGCGTGCTTGTACTCTGCACGCTTGTATTATTTGTTTGGTGTAGTTACTGCAACTTATAGACCTACAGTTGAAGTCGGAAGTTTACAGTGGCTTGCGAAAGTATTCACCCCCCCTTTGGCATTGTTCCTATTTTGTTGCCTTACAACCTGGAATTAAAATCGATTTTTTGGGGGGTTTGTATAATTTGATTTACACAACATGCCTACCACTTTGAAGATGAAAACATTTTTTGGTGTGAAAAAACAAGAAATAACACACAAAAACAGAACTTGAGCGTGCATAACTATTCACCCCCCCAAAGTCAATACTTTGTAGAGCCACCTTTTGCAGCAATTACAGCTGCAAGTCTCTTGGGGTATGTCTCTATAAGCTTGTCACATTTAGCCACTGGGATTTGGGGGGGGGCATGGGCAAGTTGCAGCAGAGGGTGCAGAGCTGGTGGCCGGGGTAGTGGTATCCAGGTGGAAAGCATGGCCAGCCGTAGCAAAATGCTTGTTGAAATTCTCGATTATTGTAGATTTATCGGTGGTGATAGTGTTTCCTAGCCTCAGTGCAGTGGGCAGCTGGGAGGAGGTGCTCTTATTCTCCATGGACTTTACAGTGTCCCAAAACTTTTTGGAGTTAGTGCTACAGGATGCAAATTTCTGTTTGAAAAAGCTAGCCTTTGCTTTCCTAACTGCTTGTGTATATTGGTTCCTGACTTCCCTGAAAAGGTGAATATCGCGGGGGCTATTCGATGCTAATGCAGTACGCCACAGGATGTTTTTGTGCTGGTCAAGGGCAGTCAAGTCTGAGGAGAACCAGGGGCTATATCTGTTCTTAGTTCTGTATTTTTTGAATGGTGCATGTTTATTTAAGATTGAGAGGAAATTACTTTTAAAGAACAACCAGGCATCCTCTACTGACAGAATGAGATCTATATCCATCCAGGATAACTGGGCCAGGTCAATTAGGAAGGCCTGCTCGCTAAAGTGTTTTAGGGAGCGTTTGACAGTGATGAGGGGTGGTCGTTTTACCGCGGACCCGTTACGGACGCAGGCAATAAGGCAGTGATCGCTGAGATCCTGGTTGAAGACAGCGGAGGTGTATTTAGAGGGTAAGTTATTCAGGATGATATCTATGAGGGTACCCATGTTTACGGATTTAGGGTTGTACCTGGTAGGTTTGTTGATAATTTGTGTGAGATTGAGGGCATCTAGTTTAGATTGTAGGATGGCCGGGGTGTTAAGCATATCCCAATTTAGGTCACCAAGCAGTACGAACTCTGAGGATAAATGGGGGGCAATCAATTCACATATGGTATCCAGGGCACAGCTGGGGGCTGAGGGGGGTCTGTAGCAAGCGGCAACAGGGTTGGCGGAGTGTGCTAACGCAGTTAATAACTCAAACTTAGGAAGTTGACTTCTGATGTTAACGTGCAGAAAACCAAGGCTTTTACGGTTACAGAAGTCAACAAATGATAGCTCCTGGGGAGTAGGAGTGATACTGGGGGCTGCAGGGCCTGGGTTAGCCTCTACATCACCAGAGGAACAGAGGAGGACTAGAATAAGGATACGGCTAAAGGCTTTAAGAACTGGTCTTCTAGTGCGTTGGGTACAGAGAATAAAGGGGGCAGTTTCCGGGCGTTATAGAAAAGATTCAGGGCATTATGTACAGACAAGGATATGGAAGGATATGAGTACAGTGGAGGTAAACCTAAGCATTGGGTAACAATGAAAGAGATGGCATCACTGAAGGCACTGATTGAGCCGGTCTCGGCGTGTATGGGGGGGTGGAACAAATGAACTATTTGAGGCAGTTTGAGAGGGACTTGGGGTTCTACAGTGAAGTTGTATAATAAGAACTAACCCAAACAGCAATAGGCTAGGCATATTGACATGGGAGAGAGGCATATCGCAATCACAGGTGTTTTTAGAGAGAGCTAAGACAACAACTGGTAATGGCGATAAAGTTTGGGCTGAGGCTAAACCGAATAAACAGGACAGGGTACCGTGTAAAGGAACAGTCCAGCAGGCATCAGCTGTGCAGCTGAGTGATCATAAAGTCCAGTGAACAGCAATATGTGAGTCTGAGAGCAGTTCAAATTGGTGCTTCAGCACAGCGAGCAGGAAGCACGGTTGTAGTTTGCGTGTGCTAGCGGGCCGGGGCTAGCAGATGGATCTTCGTGGTCGTCGCAATGGTAAGCCTGTTGAAACCGCAGACGATTACGTCGGCAGATCAGTCGTGATGGATCGGCAGGGTTCCGTGTCGACTCTAGGAGGTCCCGTCCAGTTGACAGAGAGGTAGATAGCCGGGAGATGTGCTTGACTCAAGGCTAGCTCAAGGCTGATTAGCCAACAACAACGTTCATATGGTTGCAGCTAGCTAGTTGCAATTATCCAGTCCAGTGATTCAGTGATTCCGGCAGAAAATCCGATAGGTTCTGGGTCGATAACTCGCTGTGCAGACAGTGCAGACAGGCCGATAATAGTCCAGACTAGAGCTGGCTGGTAGGTAGTTCAGGCCACGGACAATGGAGAAAAAGCCGCTAACGGTGGCTAATAGCAAGTAGCTAGTTAGCTGGTTAGCTGGCTACTCCTGTCTGGTAGACAGAGAGGTAGATAGCCGGGGATAGCTCAAGGCTAACTGGTGCTACGGGGGCAGTGGTAATTAGCCTACAGCAACATCCATTCGACATCCATTCGGTTGCGGCTAGCTAGATCCGGTGTTAAGGTCCAGTGATTCAGTTATTCTGGCAGAAAATCCAATGTTCTGGGTGAAAACCGCTAACGGTGGCTATTAGCAAGTAGCTAGTTAGCTGGCTGGCGAGTTTCAACTGGAGATTCTAGATAAAGGTGAGTAAATAATAGAATCCGTTCCACATTGAGTGAGGCGGGTTGCAGGAAAGTATATTTAGTAGAAGGATGAAAAGTGTGATAGGGAAATATATACATAAAATACAAAAAAAATAAAAAAAACTGGCTATTTACATGGACACACAAGAGAACACGACCGCACTGCTACGCCATCTTGTACAAACAATAGTACGCAAGTATAAACACCATGGGACCTCGCAGCCATCATACCGCTCAGGAAGGAGACGCGTTCTGTCTCCTAGAGATTAACGTACTTTGGTGCGAAAAGTGCAAATCAATTCCAGAACAACAGCAAAGGACCTTGTGAAGATGCTGGAGGAAACCGGTACAAAGGTATCTATATCCACAGTAAAACTAGTCCTATATCGACAGAACCTGAAAGGCCGCTCAGCAAGGAAGAAGCCACTGCTCCAAAACTGCCATAAAAAAGCCAGACTACGGTTTGCAACTGCACATGGGGACAAAAATCATACTTTTTGGAGAAATGTCCTCTGGTCTGATGAAACAAAAATAGAACTGTTTGGCCATAATGACCATTGTTATGTTTGGTGGAAAAAGGGGGTAGCTTGCAAGCCGAAGAACATCATCCCAACCGTGAAGCACAGGGTGGCAGCATCATGCTGTGGGGGTGCTTTGCTGCAGGAGGGACTGGTGCACTTCACAAAATAGATGGCATCATGAGGAAGGAAAATTATGTGGATATATTGAAGCAACATCTCAAGACATCAGTCAGGAAGTTAAAGCTTGGTCGCAAATGGGCCTTCCAAATGGACAATGACCCCAAGCATACTTCCAAAGTTGTGGCAAAATGGCTTAAGGACAACAAAGTCAAGGTATTGGAGTGGCCATCACAAAGCCCTGACCTCAATCCTATAGAACATTTGTGGGCATAACTGAAAAAGCGTGTGCGAGCAAGGAGGCCTACAAACATGACTCAGTTACACCAGCTCTGTCAGGAGGAATGGGCAAACAATTCACCCAACTTATTGTGGGAAGCTTGTGGAAGGCTACCTGAAATGTTTGACCCAAGTTAAACAATTTCAAGGCAATGCTACCAAATACTAATTGAGTGTATGTATACTTCTGACCCACTGGGAACGTGATGAAAGAAATAAAAGCTGAAATAAATAATTCTCTCTACTATTATGCTGACATTTCACATTCTTAAAATTAAAGTGGCGATCCTAACTGACCTAAGACAGGGAATTTTTACTAGGATTAAATGTCAGGAATTGTGAAAAACTGAGTTTAAAGGTATTTGGCTAAGGTGTATGTAAACGCCCGACTGCAACTGAAATGCTGTTTGGCGAAGAACTAGTTGAGTTTGCATGCTACTATTACCCTACCTGTATATCCATGTCATATTGTTTACATGGCCATTGCTTTGTATTAATATTGACCATCTATTTGCTATATTGTTGCTAAACAGCAAAATATGTGCATTATGAAGCAATATTACAAATGTTGAACGGTCCCCCAAATCCGGGTACATTTTTAAGGAGATGGAACAAAGTACAGCAACTCAAGAGAAGCGGGCCTTTTGTTTTCACTGTAATGCGATATTGCCTAAAACCTGTTTAAATCTGTCAAAATGCCATGTTGCCTGGATCCCATTGTTTGTCCTAGGTCAACAATGCATTTTAAGCTGTTCACGAGTCATTGAGCTTGGCCGGCTACACCCGACAATAGATATCACAATATTTGAGAAATAGGAAATGAAGAAACGGAAACAAACTTAGCCAGCCAATACACGGTGGGAAAATGTCCTATGTCATGTCATGTTTCCCATCAACCAGAGTCATAGTAGCAGTAAATAGACAACCCCCCGTGACTCAGACTCACTAGTCACTACTCATGACATGTAGCCCTCCTGACTGTTGGAATATGCTCCTCATTAGACACAACTGGTATTGTCTAAGGAAGTTAAGCCTTAGCCGATAGTTATTTTTTGTGCCTGACCATGGACTACCTCATTTAGAACAGCCAGTAACTTGCAGAGATAGAGAGAGGAATCCATTTTGTTGGCCTATGTGTTAATTATTGGGTCTGGTGCAGATTTCAAATTATGCTAATTAGACTTTTAGCATGTGGTAAAATGCTTAACCCTTTACACTCGTGGGAATTGGCATATATGGTTAAATTGAAATGTTTCTTACAGAATAAATATGAAAATGCATAACCATGGTAACAATTGAAAGAACACTTTGGAGATTGTGGGGAAATGATTAGACCAAAGGTGAGGACACAACAGTTCACCTGACACAAGACTGAATCCAAACATTACACTGTTGATTTGATGTGCATTTTACATTTACTGTACTTTTCACAGCATTTGTTGATAACAAAATATGAAAATACTCTGGATACATTCAGTAACATGATAAGAATATTCCTGGAAAATGTGACGTAGGTGGAACATAAGACAAAACAATGACTAGGGTTTGAGTGAGAGGACTAACTGGTGTCTCCAAGTGGACACACACCTCACCATAGTGTCCACAGCTCCTAAGTCATTTCAATGTACTTTTTTTTTTTACTAAAAGAAAAGTCTTCAACTATAAGGTGCTTTTTTTCTTTAGCTCTCCTAGCTGTGCCGTTGAGGAACTAGTAGTTGTTTTGTTTGGAACACAGCCCTGCATCCCCGCCATCACACAATTACTGTTGTTGTTTATGTAATCCAAGAACGGACTGTTATAAATCGCAATCTGGGTCAAGTGGGCATCATTTGAAAGCTTGTTCTGTTGTCAACAGGACTAGCATGACAATGTTAGGCTTTCACAATGCAATTCATAGAAAGGAGTCATTAGTGCATTCAGGTGCTTGTGCTTGAGAGGATCAAGACTGTATCAACGCAGCCCCTTTATAGAGCAAAGAGCCTGCTCTACTTACTCATTCATTGCTACAGCTGTCTGGGCTACATTAGCCCACCAGTCCCCACTCATGATGCACAGAAGTTAACACACTTGAATAATGCAACACGTTATGTAGAAATGTTGAAACTGTTCGTTACTGTTCGCAAAAACAATGTCCATACAGGCCAGAACACTTAACGTTACAATGTAAGACAATACCGGTAGCTTCCAGCTTTAATTGTAAACTTGACTTTCCACTACCCTAGTACTTTGTTTGCGATACCATAACGCAAACCATAACGCAAACCATAACGCAAAAAATGCTGATTTCAAAGCTGACTGTCACCAACTTTTTATTCATTCCCTTCGTCTCCCTTGCCAACAAAAACTCATTCACTTCTTCATCTTCCTCTACGGGAGGTCTGGTTTACACCAGATTCCATAGCCACATTCTGCCTAGCAAGTTGTCATTCATTTCTTAGAGATTGCTTATTCTATAGACGGGTTGGTTGTTTAGCAACAAAACCGACGCGTGCACAACTATGGGGCTTAGATTGTTGACATATAAACTATATTTTGTCTCCAATGTTTATTGAAAACGTAAATAAATTTGTACAATGAGCACTTGTCTCTCAAATACCTCGTTACAGTTGTTGTTAGCGAGCAAATTTTAGCCATATTAGCATAGACATGAAGTCAGTCAAAATAAGATATGGTATGAAGAACGAGCTGAAACGAGCCACTTACGATTCCCCACATGGCAGTTTCTTGTCATTCTCGCCATGTAGCCCCATGGAATCAGCAAAAACAAGCACAATATCTCAATGCATCCACACACTCCTATTGAATAATATGCATTCACCTGTATCGTGAATAGACCTAGGTTACATCTTGATTTACCCAGTTTATCAATAAAGATTTACCATTCAAATAAATTATTACCATTATGTTGTTTTATATTTAGATTGGTAAAAACAAAGTCAAATTGATTGTATAATTGACTCAATTCATGCATACATGGTTGTTCAAATGTAATGATATTGAACTCCTAAGGATTTAACAGAGCAGTAGCTAAGTTTATCTGTCTGGATCAAGTGCCATTCTGTGACTTTGGCTAATACGTAGTCTTTTTTTTTGTTGTTATGGTATAATGAGACTGAAAAGGTCTTCACATTGAATAAAATGTCCCCTCTCTTCAATTGCTGCTGACAGGTTGCAGCTTCCTATGGAAGTATCGTCTGTGTCTTTGAGCCTGTTCAGCTCATGAACCAGAAGGACAGGACATCAGCAGTAAGTTCTAATTGTATTGATTCTCTAGTAGTTATTGATTCTTACTGACTGCACTGCAGTGTAACTTCCTGATACAAATAATATGTAAGGAAGTTATTCATCTATTGTTCCTAATGACTTGGTATTGACAATTTGGATTTGATCGTTTGAATGCTTGTGTTCTTACAGAAACTGAGCTACCAGTGGCAGAAAAGTGGACAGTTTGTTTTGCAGTCCATAGTGCGCAACCTGGCCTGGGACCCCACAGGTAAATCCATTATTCTATGTGCATCTATGTCCAAATGAAAACGCCCTGTGTTCTTATTGTTTATTAAATTTTTTGCACACAGGCACTCGTCTTTTAACTGGGTCCGCAAGCCTCCAGCTGTGGTCTAATATCAGCGATGGTTTGGAGGAGGAAGGGGAACAGGCAGACATGACCATTGGTGACCCTCCGTGTCCCTGGAGGTGTATCTGGCACTGCAAGTAAGAACTGCACTATGAAATAGTCCTAATGTAGCCTGTATTCCCCCAAAAACATTCTCATGGATCCATCTGATGTATTGTTGTGTCCCCCTCTCATCTTCATAGAACCGCCTCCCCAATTCAGCTCATGAAGTTCTCTCCAGATGGAGAATTCTTCGCTACTGCCGGACAGGTGGGTGGCCTTTTAGTGTCCAGTCATGTGCATAAAGATGCTTTTTAAAGTAAAGACATTACAGAGAAACACATTCTAACAAGTGCACACTAATAGCCATGTCATCCTTTGTGTACTAACTCCCAGTAATGCTGTTGTTTTCAGGACGACTGTCTGGTCAAAGTGTGGTACAGCACCAGTAAATGGCAGTCTGGTGTGACCAAGCTGTTCACCCCACCGGAGCACAGCGCTCACGGGGAGCTGGACTTCTCTTTTATCTACCTGGCACACCCACGCTCTGTAACGAGCTTCTCCTGGAGGAAGACCAGCAAGTATATGCCACGGTAAGGCCGATCGTTAAAGTCTTTAGAAGCACTGACGTTGTTCATGTTTCTCCTGTCCTGATGGCGCTGTGTCCGCTGTGTGTTTCTCTCCAGGGGTTCAGTGTGTAATGTGCTACTGACCTGCTGTAAGGACAGTGTGTGTCGCCTGTGGGCAGAGACCCTGCTTCCCAGTGACAGCTTGCTGTCCGGACACACGCTCTGTCACGTTAAGAACGGACAGAACAGCGACTCGCTCAAATCGTCAGGCGGCAGCAAGAAGACTCCCTCTCATATCAAAACGCAGGACAGGAATCCCTTGGAGGTAGGAAGAATGTTTCCACTGCGTAGTCCTTCAGGCTGGTGAGAAGTTAAGCGAGCATAACAGGCTTAGAGCTAAAAGGATATCTGACAGGAAACTCGTTTTCCAGGCTTTGCAGCCCTTGAGAACATTTACATTTACATTTTACATTTAAGTCATTTAGCAGACGCTCTTATCCAGAGCGACTTACAAATTGGTGCATTCAATTTATGATAGCCAGTGGGACAACCACTCCCCTTTTTTTTTGTGGGGTGGAGGGGGGGGGGGGGGGGGGGGGGGGGGGTAGAAGGATTACTGTTATACTATTCCATGTATTCCTTAAAGAGGTAGGGTTTCAAGTGTCTCCGGAAGGTGGTCAGTGACTCCGCTGTGCTGGCGTCGTGGGGGAGCTTGTTCCACCATTGGGGTGCCAGAGCAGCGAATAGCCCCGACTGGGCTGAGCGGGAACTATGCTTCCGTTGAGGTAGGGGGGCTAGCAGGCCAGAGGTGGATGAACGTAGTGCCCTCGTTTGGGTGTAGGGTCTGATCAGAGCCTGAAGGCAAGGAGGTGCCGTTCCCCTCACAGCTCCGTAGGCAAGCACCATGGTTTTGTAGTAGATGCGAGCTTCAACTGGAAGCCAGTGGAGTGTGCGGAGGAGCGGGGTGACATGAGAGAACTTGGGAAGGTTGAACACCAGATGGGCTACAGCGTTCTGGACAAGCTGTAGGGGTTTAATGGCACAGGCAGGGAGCCCAGCCAACAGCGAGTTGCAGTAATCCAGACGGGAGATGACAAGTGCCTGGATTAGGACCTGTGCCGCTTTCTGTACAAGGTAGGGTCGTCCTCTGCGAATGCTGCAGAGTATGAACCCGCAGGATCGGGTCACCGCTTTGATGTTAGCGGAGATCGACAGGGTGTTGTCCAGGGTCACGCCAAGGTTCTTTGCACTCTGGGAGGAGGACACAATGGAGTTGTCAACCGTGATGGCGAGATCTTGGAGCGGGCAGTCCTTCCCCGGGGAGCTGCCCCGGGAGGAAGAGCAGCTCCGTCTTGCCGAGGTTCAGCTAGAAAATCTTGTTTCTAAACAGTACACCCATGAATTATAGTACCTCTGTTCATATTGCTGACGAATGTATTTTGTTTTTTGTCGAGGTGCTCTAGTAACTAGTTGTATACAAAACTTTCCTTATTCGAAGAAGGTCATTACATGGTTATGCATCTCGGCAGAAAAAAAATGAGCAAGGGACAAATTACATTGCAGGAAAAATAGATATGCAAATGTGAATTCAATGCCCAGAGGAAAGTCTGCTAACATTGCAGAGTTATTCATTAACATCACTGATTGCGATATCAGAGGTACAATTTTAGTTCGTCTGGTTTTCCAAAGCCAAACAGAGCGAGATTCCTACTTAGGAGCCATTTTGTTGCTTCAGTTGAATCTGCAGGAGTCGTGGAGAGCCCCCTTGAGAGGTGTGGCCCAGCCCTCCCTGACCAGCCGCCTCCCGAACCAGCAGAACGGTCACCACAACCACCAGACCAACAGCGTGCCCCATGCCAACGCTCTCTGCCACTTCCACATCGCTGCCAGCATCAACCCTGCCACAGGTACCGCACCCAAACCAACTGTTTCCAGAAATGAAGGCGTTCAGTGGCAATATTCAAGGTGGTTTACATTGCATAACAGTTGATTTTATAGGATAACAGAGCCTGTCTTAAACCCCTTCTGTACGTAATGCATAAGAATGTCAATGCAGATGTTGTATGCCTAAGAGTCACTATTATAAGCCCCTCTAACTGACCGTTAGTGATGGGGGGGGGGTGGAATCGATAGTTACATATCAGGATATTATTTTTGACAATATATCGTATCGTTTTGACATCGCAATATTATTAGGCTGTACCTGCACCAAAATACCAGTATTTGTCCTTCATAGCTTGTTCTCCATCCCAATTTTTTTTTAGCCAATTTGTTTCCCACACTTTTATTTCCTTGACTGATCAAAACTAGTTTTCTCATGGTATCCCTCTGCAGCAGACATTGTGAGCAATGTTTGGACCATGGAATCGCAATAAAATCAGAGTATTGGATCGCAATACATATAGAATCGTATCGGCACCTAAGTATTGTGATAATATTAGAGCCCGACCGATATATCGGTTCACTGACATTATCGGCTTATTACCGCTATATGGGTATCGACCGATAATTCAACCGTTAACCGATATTCAATAAAACATTTGAAGCATAGTTATTGGACAATTGCTCTTTTGGATGGCAATTTAGGAGAATTCAGTGTGGGAAAATGACACTTTTTCATTTCCCCAGTGTGAGACAGTATGTCGGCAGATATATCAGTAGGGGTACGTTTTGTCCCCCAAAAAAATCGGAATCGATATCTGACCAAAAATACCATATCGGTGGGGTCTAGATAATATTGTATCGTGAGGTCCCTGGCAATTCAGACATTTAGGCCCTGGAGTTGTTCCTGGCAATGTGACCTGCCCAAGAACAACCAGGTAGATGTCTGCCTGGGACAGATTTTTTTGGTACCATGCCCGCTTGCTCCCGCGAGATTTCATACTGCGCCCACCCCCGCAGGTTTTTTTGCCGACATCCCACCTGCTCCCGCCAGATCTCTTCCAGCTCCTGCCCCCAGTCCCTCAATGTTAAAATGACACGTCTTCAAAACCACCGTCTTCTGTATTATAATGTGCAATGAATGCATGATTTTATAAGACATTTGCTGGTTGGAATAAAGTCAAACTCATTTGAAGCAGCCCAGACAAAAATTGGAATGAGTTCACCTTGTAAACTTTCCAATTCCAATCATCTCAACTCAAACTGTCAGTAAGGGAAAAGAAAGGCAACAAATAGGCTATTGATAGGCTGACTAGTGACCAATCACAAGCCATTCATTTCATTACCTTTAGAAAATGATTAACAACATACTTTCCAGTGAGGACTGCAAGCTGATAATTGCTTTTAGAATTCCTTGTATAATTAATCACAAACTCCATCACATCATTATTTTTTTTATTTTTTTGGGCCACCACTACTGTTTGAAGCAGGCGCGCGAGCTGGTTGTGTCACGAGCCCCAGTTAGAGGTAGGGAGAGGAGCCAGAATGACAGAGAGGGATTCATGTGATAGATTTAAGCAATAAGCACGACACAACGCGGAGTGCCTGGATACACCTCTTAGCCGTGGTATATTGGCCATATACCACACACCCACGAGGTGCCTTATTGCTATTATAAACTGGTTACAAACGTAATTAGATCAGTCAAAATAAATGTTTTGTCATACCCGTGGTATACGGTCTCATATACCACAGCTTTCAGCCAATTAGCATTCAGGGATCAAACCACCCAGTTTATAAAAGTGGTTTTATAACAATTCACAGTGCATTTAAACATCGATACGACCATTATGAAATAATTTGCGGAACTAAAAATAATATTTTCATCCAGAATTTGTCTTTCTGACCAACCTCTGCCCGCCTGCAGCATGAACCATTCCGACCGCGCCGCACATTTCTCTGTTGGGCGATGCGCGAGTCCCACGGTAATGCAGGGCTCTACAACAAGGACCAACTCTGGGCCCTACACACAAATGACCAGTTAAGTGATGATCCAGTATGGGTGTGTTGTTTGGTGCAGATATCCCCCTGCTGCCGTCTATCACGTCGCTGTGTGGGGGAGATGACGAGGAGCCTGGCGGGCCCTTCACCGTGCACTGGCTCAACAACAAGGAGCTGCTTCTCACCCTGGCCATGGAGGTGTTCCTGCAGCAGCTCAGAGGCAGCGTGGAGCAGAACCACTCCGAACACTCCCATGAGGGTAGGTACTTGGTGGAGAGCAGGGGTGGATTCATTAGTGCACACCGTAGTAAAACATTTTGCAACGGAAATCGTTTTGCAACTGAAAACGCTTTGTAAAGAAAAATTCTGGTTAGTACCTCTCAGCTTAGGCTGTTTGCTTCCGTTTGTTCCTACTGAATACAATAGGGGTAGGCAACCCTTGTCCTGGAGATCCTTGCTAATTATTTACCTTAATTCATCCATCAAGTAAGGGTGGAAAGAACCTGCAGCCACTCGGCCCTCCATGGAATTAGGACACGTGCCCTAATGACTGCATTCTCAAACTTTACCAGATTGCACAACATGTCATAAAATAAAAAGTCATAGAGCAATATAATACCCTTTTAAAGGGGCAATCTGCAGTTGCTTCATCCATTTTTGGACTTCAGAGGTAATTAAGAGTTAATTAAATGTACCCACTGTTTCTTGAACAATATAACATATACATGCCTCATGAGCTTAGTTCAGCTGTCGTACTCCGTCAGAACCCAAAATATAAGCTTGTTTCACTCAAATGTTTGTAAACAAAGTAAAAGTAAACAAACATTATAGCCACAAAACATGGTTAAAACTATAATTTTGATATCATGGATGGTCAGTCTTTGCATCCGTAGCTCTGTCTATGAATTTGAGTGGTTCCATTTCTCCAGCCCCATCCCTCAGCTTTTTACCGAAACGGGTCGGGAGAACACTTTGTTACTGTTTCAACTGCTGATTGCCGCTTTAACCTAGAAATGAAAGGGCTTCGGATAGGTTATTTGATCATGAAAATAACTTAACCATATTCTAACTGAACTAAAAAAACAGAACACTTTCAGAGCAGTTGGATAATGACTGAAATAAAACCAAAATACTTTTCAATCATTTATAATTTGAGAGCCTATCATTTATTTACCCTTCAGTTTTGTGGATATGAGGACTGGGATGTGAGCTCTCTCCTGTCTGTCGGTCTGTCTCCCAGAGCCTGACTATGAGGAGGTAGAGCAGGCTGCTAGTCGAGCGGCAGATGGAGAACCTGACGCGGCGTCCACCCAGCTGCCTGCTGCAGCGGTGGAGCACCAGGTAGAGGTGTTGCTGGAGGACTGGAACAGGGGGGCAGACATGCTGTTCAGTATCCACCCCATGGATGGCTCTCTGCTGGTGTGGCACGTGGACTGGCTGGATGAATACCAGCCCGGCATGTTCCGCCAGGTCCAGGTATGTTACCTTCATCAGTAAAGCAACCTTTTCTGTTTTTTTGCATCACAATATACAGTGCATTCGGAAAGTATTCAGACCCCTTCCCTTTTTCCACATTTTGTTACGTTACAGCCTTATATTATATATATATTTATATCCTCAATCTACACACAATACCCCATAATGACAAAGCGAAAACGTATTTACATAAGTATTCAGACCCTTTGCTATGAGACTCGAAATTGAGCTCAGGTGCATCCTGTTTCTATTGATCATCCTTGATGTTTCTACAACTTGATTGGAGTCTACCTGTGGTAAATTCAATTGATTGGACATGATTTGGAAAGGCACACACCTGTCTATATAAGGTCCCACAGTTGACAGTGCATGTCAGAGCAAAAACCAAGCCATGAGGTCGAAGGAATTGTCCGTAGAGCTCAGAGAGGATTGTGTCGAGGCACAGATCTAGGGAAGGGTACGAAAATATTTCTGCAGTATTGAAGGTCCCCAAGAACACAGTGGCGTCCATCATTCTTAAATGGAAGAAGTTTGGAACCACCAAGACTCTTCCTAGAGCTGGCCGTCCGGCCAAGCTGAGCAATCGGGGGAGAAGGGTCTTGGTCAGGGAGGTGACCAAGAACCCAATGGTCACTCTGACAGAGCTCCAGAGTTCCTCTGTGGAGATGGGAGAACCTTCCAGAAGGACAACCATCTCTGCAGCACTCCACCAATCAGGCCTTTATGGTACAGTGGCCAGACGGAAGCCACTCCTCAGTAAAAGGCAAATGACAGCCCGCTTGGAGTTTGCCTAAATGCGCTGAAGGGACTCTGACCATGAGAAACAAGATTCTCTGGTCTGATGAAACCAAGATTGAACTCTTTGGCCTGAATGCCAAGCGTCACGTCTGGAGGAAACCTGGCACCATCCCTACGGTGAAGCATGGTGGTGGCAGCATCATGCTGTGAGGATGTTTTTCAGCAGCAGGGACTGGGAGACTAGTCAGGATCGAGGGAAAGATGAATGGAGCAAAGTACTGAGAGATCCTTGAGGAAAACCTGCTCCAGAGCGCTCAGGACTTCAGACTGGGGCGAAGCTTCACCTTCTAACAGGACAACGACCCTAAGCACACAGCCAAGACAACGCAGGAGTGGCTTCGGGACAATTCTCTGAATGTCTTTGAGAGACCCAGCCAGAGCCTGGACTTGAACCCGATCAAACATCTCTGGAGAGACCTGAAAATAGCTGTGCAGCGACACTCCCCATCCAACCTGACAGAGCTTGAGAGGATCTGCAGAGAAGAATGGGAGAAACTCCCCAAATACAGGTGTGCCAAGCTTGTAGTGTCATACCCAAGAAGACTCTATGGTGTAATTGCTGCCAAAGGTGCTTCAACAAAGTACTGAGTAAAGGGTCTGAATACTTATGTAAAAGTGATATTTCAGTTTTGTGTTTTGTAATACATTTGCAATAATTTCTAAACCTGTTTTTGCTTTGTCATTATGGGGTATTGTGTGTAGATTGATGAGGGGGAAAAAAATATTTAATAAATTTTAGAATAAGGCTGTAACGTAACAAAATGTGGAAATAGTCCAGGGGTCTGAATACTTTCCAAATGCACTGTATATAGACAGGTATGTTTCTTTCTAAATCATGTCCAAACAATTGAATTGGCCACAGGTGGACTCAAATAAAGTTGTAGAGACATCTCAAGGATGATCAAAGGAAATTGGAGGCACCTGAGCTCAATTTGTAGTGTCATAGTAAAGGGGTGTGAATACGTACAGTACAAGTCAAAACTTTGGGTCTTTCTTTAGTTGTACTATTTTTTACATTATAGAATAATAGTGAAGACATCAAAACTATTAAATAACACATATGGAATCATGTTGTAACCAAAAAAGTGTTAAACAAATCGATTTTATATTTGAGATTCTTCAAATAGCCACCCTTTGCATTGATGACAGCTTTGCACACTCTTGGCATTCTCTCAACCAGCTTCATAATAATAATAATAATAATATAATATGCCATTTAGCAGATGCTTTTATCCAAAGCGACTTAGTCATGCGTGCATACATTTTTACGTATGGGTGGTCCCGGGGATCGAACCCACTACCCTGGCGTTACAAGCGGATACAGAGGACCACGATATAGTCACCTGGAATGCATTTCAATTAACAGGTGTGCCTTGTTAAAAGTTAATTTGTGGAATTTCTTTCCTTCTTAATGCGTTTGAGCCAATCATTTGTGTTGTGACAGAAGATAGCCCTATTTGGTAAAATACCAAGTCCATATTATGGCAAGATCAGCTCAAATAAGTAAAGAGAAACGACAGTCCATCATCACTTTAAGACATGAAGGTCAGTCAATACGGAACATTTCAATAACTTTGAAAGTTTCTTCAAGTGCAGTCACAAAAACCATCAAGCGCTATGACGAAACTGGCTCTCATGAGGACCACCACAGGAATGGAAGACCCAGAGTTACCTCTACTACAGAGGATAAGTTCATTAGAGTTACCAGCCTCAGAAATTGCAGCCCAAATAAATGCTTCACAGAGTTCATGTCATAGACACATCTCAACATCAACTGTTCATAGGGGACTGTGTGAATCAGGCCTTCATGGTCGAATTGCTGCAAAGAAACCGCTACTAAAGGACACCAATAAGAAGAAGAGACTTGCTTGGGCCAAGAAACACAAGCAATGGACATTAGACCAGTGGAAATCTGTCCTTTGGTCTGATGAGTCCAAATTGGAGATTTTGGTTCCAACCGCTGTGTCCTTGTGAGACGCGGTGTGGGTGAACGGATGATCTCTGCATGTGTAGTTCCCACCGTAAAGCATGGAGGAGGAGGTGTTATGGTGTGGGGGTACTTTGCTGGTGACACTGTCTGTAATTTATTTAGAATTCAAGGCACACTTAACTAGCATGGCTACCACAGCATTCTGCGCGATACGCCATCCCATCTGGTTTGGGCTTAGTGGGACTATCATTTTGTTTTTCCACAGGACAATGACCCAACACACCTCCAGGCTGTGTAAGGGCTATTTGACCAAGAAGGAGAGTGATGGAGTGCTGCTTCAGATGACCTGGCCTCCACAATCCCACGACCTCAACCCAATTGAGATGGTTTGGGATGAGTCGGACGGCAGAGGGAAGGAAAAGCAGCCAACAAGTGCTCAGCATATGTGGGAACTCCTTCAAGACTGTTGGAAAAACATTCCAGGTGAAGCTGTCATCAAGGCAAAGGGTGGCTATTTGAAGAATCTCAAATATAAAATATAGTTTGATTTGTTTAACACCTTTTTGGTTACTACATGATTCCATATGTGTTATTTCATAGTTTTGATATCTTCACTATTATTCTACAATGTAGAAAATAGTAAAAATAAAGAAAAACACTTAACTTTTGACTGGTACTGTATATTTTAGATTCTTCAAAGTAGCCACCCTTTGCCTTGATGAAAGCTTTGCACACTCTTGGCATTCTCTCAACCAACTTCACCTCGAATGCTTTTCCAACAGTCTTGAAGGAGTTCCCCCATATGCTGAGCACTTGTTGGCTGCTTTTCCTTACATTTTACATTTTAGTCATTTAGCAGACGCTCTTATCCAGAGCGACTTACAGTTAGTGAGTGCATTTTTTTTATTTTTTTCATACTGGCCCCCCGTGGGAATCGAACCCACAACCCTGGCGTTGCAAACGCCATGCTCTACCAACTGAGCTACATCCCTGCCGGCCATTTCCTCCCCTACCCTGGACGACGCTGGGCCAATTGTGCGCCGCCCCATGGGTCTCCCATGGACGACCACTGCGCCACTCGGGAGATCCTTCACTCTGCAGTCCAACTCATCCCAAACCATCTCAATTGAGTTGAGGTCGGGTGATTGTGGAGGCCAGGTCATCTGATGCAGCACTCCATCACTCTCCTTCTTGGTCAAATAGCCCTTACACAGCCTGGAGGTGGGTTTTGGGTCATCGTTCATTGACTACAGCTCAGCGTTCAACCCCATAGTGCCCTCAAAGCGCATCACTAAGCTAAGGACCCTGGGACTAAACACATCCCTCTGCAACTGGATCCTGGACTTCCTGACGGGCCGCCCCCAGCTGGTAAGGGTAGGTAACAACACATCCGCCACGCTGATCCTCAACACGGGGGCCCCTCAGGGGTGCTTGCTCAGTCCACTCCTGTACTCCCTGTTCACTCATGGCCAGGCACGACTCCAACACCATCATTAAGTTTGCCGATGACACAACAGTGGTAGGCCTGATCACCGACAACGACGAGACAGCCTATAGGGAGGAGGTCAGAGACCTGGCCATGTGGTGCCGGGACAACAACCTCTCCCTCAACGTGATCAAGACAAAGGAGATGATTGTGGACTACAGGAAAAAGAAGAGGACCGAGCACGCTGCCATTCTCATCGACGGGGCTGTAGTGGAGCAGGTTGAGAGCTTCAAGTTCCTTGGTGTCCACATCACCAACAAACGAACATGGTCCAAGCACACCAAGACAGTCGTGAAGAGGGCACGACAAAACCTGTTCCCCCTAAGGAGCCTGAAAAGATTTGGCATGGGTCCTCAGATCCTCAAAAGGTTCTACAGCTTCACCATCGAGAGCATCACTGCCTGGTATGGCAACTGCTCAGCCTCCGACCACAAGGCACTACAGAGGGTAGTGTGTACGGCCCAGTACATCACTGGGGCCAAGCTTCCTGCCATCCAGGACCTCTATACCAGGCGGTGTCAGAGGAAGGCCCTAAGAATTGTCAATGACCCTAGTCATAGACTGTTCTCTCTGCTACTGCACGGCAAGCAGTACCAGAGCGCCAAGTCTAGGTCCAAGAGGCTTCTAAACAGCTTCTACCCCCAAGCCATAAGACTCCTGAACATCTAATCAAATGGCTACCCAGACTATTTGCATTGCCCCCCCTCTTTTAAGCTGCTGCTACTCTCTCAATTACCTCGACTAACCATTGCCCCCCCGCACATTGGCTCGGTACCGGTACATAGCCTCGCTATTGTTATTTTTACTGTTGCTCATTAATTATTTGTTATTTATTTCGTATTATTTTATATTGTATTTTATTGTGATTTTTTTTAAACTGCATTGTTGGTTAAGTAAGCATTTCACTGTAAGGTCTACACCTGTTGTATTCGGCGCATGTGACAAATAAAATTTGACTTGATTGTCCTGTTGAAAAAAAAATGATACTAAGCGCAAACCAGATGGGATGGCGTATCACTGCAGAATGCTGTGGTAGCCATGCTGGTTAAGTGTGCCTTGAATTCTAAATAAATCATAGACAGTGTCACCAGTAAAGCACCCCCACACCATAACACCACCTCATCCATGCTTTACGGTGGGAACCACACATGCGGAGATCATCCGTTCACCTACTCTGCGTTTCACAAAGACACAGCGGTTGGAACCAAAAATCTCAAATTTGGACTTATCAGACCAAAGGACAGATTTCCACCGGTCTAATGTCCATTGCTCGTGTTTCTTGGCCCAAGCAGGTCTCTTCTTCTTATTGGTGTCCTTTAGTAGTGGTTTCTTTGCAGCAATTCGACCATGAAGGCCTGATTCACACAGTCTCCTCTGACCAGTTGATGTTGAGATGTGTCTGTTACTTGAACTCTGTGAAGCATTTATTTGGGCTGCAATTTCTGAGGCTGGTAACTCTAATGAACTTATCCTCTGCAGCAGAGGTAACTCTGGGTCTTCCTTTCCTGTGGCAGTCCTCATGAGAGCCAGTTTCATCATAGCGCTTGATGGTTTTTGCGGCTGCACTTGAAGAAACTTTCAAAGTTCTTGAGATTTTCCGTATTGACTGACCTTCGTGTCTTAAAGTGATGATGGACTGTCGTTTCTCTTTGCTTATTTGAGCTGTTGTCTGTTCTTGCCATAATATGGACTTGGTCTTTTACCAAATAGGGCTATCTTCTGTATAACCCCCGTACCTTGTCACAACACAACTGATTGGCTCAAACGCATTAAGAAGGAAAGAAATTCCACAAATTAACTTTTAACAAGGCACACCTGTTAATTGAAATGCATTCCAGGTGACTACCTCATGAAGCTGGTTGAGAGAATGCCAAGTGTGTGCAAAGCTGTCATCAAGGCAAAGGGTGGCTACTTTGAAGAATCTCAAATATAAAATATATTTTGATTTGTTTAACACTTTTTTGGTTACTACATGATTCCATATGTGTTATTTAATAGGTTTGATGTCTTCACTATTATTCTACAATGTAGAAAATAGTAAAAATAAAGAAAAACCCATGAATGAGTAGGTGTATCCAAACTTTTGACTGGTACTGTATGTAAATTAGATATTCATTTTCATTTTCAACAAATGTGCAAACATTTCTAAAAAAACATGTTTTCACTTTGTCATTATGGGGTATTGTGTGTAGATGGGTGAGAACAAAAATCGATTTAATCCGTTTTGAATTCAGGCTATAACGCAACAACATGTGGAATAAGTCAATGGGTATGAATACTTTCTGAAGGCACTGTAATATGTGGTCTGACTACTGGTGCTCTGACTGATCTCATCTTTGCTTCTTTTTTGTGTGTTTTGAGACGTGCAAAATTAACATAAAACAAAGTGCTACTTGTTGAAAACAACATTAGCTGTCTCCGTGAAACTAATCATTTTGACAGTTGCATTGTACAGCTTACATTTTCATGTATTCTCACTGACGCTGGGTTAATTATATTCTAATTAAGTCTGACATTATTTGAAATTGGAAATGCGTTTATCTGCAGTATAATGATTGGGCCTCTTTTGATCCGGCAGTCAACGCTGCTGATGGAATCTCAATGACATCCAGGTTTATTAGGGCTGGCTGCCTTCATTTGATAAAAACGGCGGAAAGTGTAATGCATAATGATATGCTAATTAACTTTGGTGAGGAAGTGAAGCAGCACCGACTGACCAATCATGTCTCCGTTGTCCCGTGACAGGTGTCCTTTGTGTCCCGGATCCCTGTGGCCTTCCCCACGGGCGATGCCAACTCCCTGAGCCGCAGCGTGGTCATGTACGCCTGCAACAAGAACGTGGACCTGGCCATCCAACATGGCCGCCAGCGGCCCGCCGGCCTGCCACATTCCTCGTCGGTGCTGATCCCCTATGGCCAGAGCAAGGCGACCACCTCCAGCAGCCTGCGCCTCAGCATCTTCACCCCCAACGTGCTTATGATCTCCACGCACTCCGACGGCTCCCTCAACCAGTGGGCGGTCAGCTTCGCTGAGGAGTCGGCTTTCTCCACCGTGCTCAGCGTGTCCCACAAGTCACGCTACTGCGGCCACCGCTTCCACCTCAACGACCTGGCCTGCCACTCCCTGCTGCCCCTGTTGCTCACCACCTCACACCACAACGCCCTGCGGACCCCCGACGTGGACAGTGTCCTGGCCCCCTTGGCCACCCTTTCTCAACCCCTTGGGGGCGGGCCCAGCCGGGTGTCCCTGGGCGCGGTGTCGCAGGACCCCAACGCCATCTACAGCGAGCTCATCCTGTGGAGGGTGGATCCAGTGGGGCCGCTGTCCTTCTCTGGAGGGGTGTCTGAGCTGGCCAGGATCAACTCTCTCCACTCCTCTGCCTTCTCCAACGTAGCCTGGCTGCCCACACTCATCCCAAGTAACTGCCTTGGTAAGGAAGGAGACAGTGAATTTACCTTTGAAAACTCTGTCAGCAGATGGCTTGCAATAGTTTTCTTCTCTACTGCAGGTGTCTACTGCAACTCTCCCAGTGCCTGCTTCGTGGCCAGTGACGGTCACTCGCTGAGGCTCTACCAGGCTGTTATTGAAGCCAAGAAACTACTCAGTGAGCTCTCCAATCCAGATATTTCAGTAAGTCGACAACCAGCACAATGGCTTTTTGATATCTCAGATTAACATTATTCTTTTTTTATCCGCACTATTCTCGATTATCTAAACATTTTAAAATATTTTTATTTCTTACAGAAATATGTCGGCAAAGTTTTTAACATCATCAGCCAGCAATCAACTGCTAAACCAGGTTGTATCATCGAGCTAGATGCCATTACTGACTTTGTAAGTATACATTTATGGAAGAAGGAAATACGTTCTTATGAGTGCACACAGATTGTCACTGACCTTTTTCAGCACCGTGATTGGGGTTTGCTAGGCATAGCAAGCGCACTCCGATATTCAATAGATGACTGAATTCTATGTAACACATTGTTTAATGGCTTCTCTCCATCTTAACAAAAAGGTCAGCCATGCCATAGATGTTTTACACTGTAGCCTAGCCAGTAGGCCTTAAATTATGTGGAGCTGCCACCAAGTCGCAGCCTGGCCTTAGCATTAAATAATTAACTTTTGTGTGTGTTGGGGGGGGGGGGTGTAGATGATGATGTTGATGATGATGCATGGTTAGATTCGATGTATTTATGTATCCTATGTGGAAGCATCAGCACACTCTTTAATTGTTCAAGACACATTTCCCCTCGGACAATAAAGTATATCCTGTCCTATTGTGTGTCCTGTGTAGTTGGTAGAGTATGGCGCTTGCAGCGCCAGGGTTGTGGGTTCGATTCCCACGGGGGACCAGTACAAAAAAAGTATTAAAATGTATTCACTCACTACTGTAAGTCGCTCTGGATAAGAGCGTCTGCTAAATGACAAAAAATCTAAATGTAAATAATGTGCGTTCTGCAGCAGGGGAAGGAGACTCAGCTGCTGCATGTGTTTGAGGAGGATCTGATTTTTGGCAGTGAGCGGAGCACTCAGGAAGCCCCCGCTACAGACACTGGTAGGATTCCATTAGGAGACACACTCACTAATACAACCTTGACTTTGCTCTCTAGTCCATCTAAGTCAGTGTGATTATACATGTCTGTGTGTGTTTTCCTCCTGCAGCCTCCAGCCAGCCAAGCTTCTCCGCCCGCTTCTTCCTGGTGGTGGTAGAATTTACCCAGACTGGCAGGTCTTTCCTGCATATGTGGCACCTGCAACTGGCAGCTGGCCCAATCACTATGGGTGTGTGACCTCAAGGGTCCATTTCAATGTTACAGTGTTGTTGGGCATTGTCTGCCAGCTTTAACCTGGCTCTAGAAAAACAATGAGTCCTAGACTCATTTGTTTTTGTGTGTCTTTACAGACGAGACCGACGCTCCGCCTGACAAGGAGTATGTGACCTCGTCGCCAATTAACAGCTCTTTTAACTTTGAGACGTTCAGCTCCCCCTCGGCCCAGAAGAACAAGTCTTGCACGTCCAACCTGCAGAGTGCCAGTCGCCTCACCCTGGCCACTCAAAGGCTGTACAGCCAGGAGCTAGCTCTTCCAGACGGCGTGGAGGTGATCAGTGTCACGCCCTCAGCAGGTAAGAGAGCACTGAACCACAGTCACACACCCCTCTTCTCCTATATAATCGGATAGTCCTGTTTGTTTCTCCACAATAATGTAATCAACTCACAAAGTGTTGGATAATTCTATAGAATGGAACCAGTTCAACTGAAATTGGATAAGAGATCATTAACAGCCCTTTGTTTGGCAAGGTTTTGGGGGGTGGGGGGGTCTTGGTTACTATGCTGGCGTTTAACTGTTACATTTCAGTATAGATATAACTTAAGTCAATTGTATTGAGTTTGTGTACAAGCCAACCCAGAAAGTGTGGCTAAACTAACTAACCAATGATTGTTCTTGTTCCAGGTCATCTGAGCGCGTCCTCCCTGCAGCCGGCGGGTGGCGCTCCCTATCTCCTGGCCACTTCCTGTTCAGACGGAAAGGTGAGGTTCTGGAGGTGCAGGGCGGCTGCAGTGGAGCCAGACGCCCAGGAGCTGACGTACACCTGGGAGGAATGGCCTCTATTGGTGGAGGAGGGGCTGGGCAACAGCAGTGCCGTGACCGTGTCGGGCAGACCAGTGACAGTCAGCTGTTGTCACACCAGCCGCATCGCAGTGGCCTACCGACACAACCCTAGCCCTCACCTGAGCCCTAACCCTAACCACCTGAGGCCTAACCCTCAGCAGGGTGTCAGAGAACCACTGGTCCACGTAGGGGTATTCCAGTGCGAGTCCACAGGCGGCTCCCACTGGGTGCTAGAGCAGACCCTCATCTTGGATGCCTCCACTCCCACTGGTAACAACAACAATAACATGGAGAGTGGCACCAAGAGCCTGAATGTGGAGAATAATAACCTGGACATCTATCTGCCCAATGACCACTGCCTGGGGACCTCTGGAAAGAGTCTGGTCCACCTGGACTGGGTCTCCAGGGAGGACGGCTCCCACATTCTCACTGTGGGGATTGGTTCCAAACTCTACATGTACGGCCTGCTCTCTGGAAAACCTCCTGAACTCGGCCTGTCTGATGGCCCCAGGGAGCAGAGCTCTTCCCGCCTGGTCCTCCTGCGCTCCGTGGACCTGGTCTCCTCCGTGGAGGGCTCCCTGCCCATCCCTGTCTCCCTGTCCTGGGTGAGGGATGGCATCCTGGTGGTGGGCATGGACTGTGAGATGCACGTGTACTCCCAGTGGCAGCCCCCGGCCAAGTCCACAGCCTCGAACACCACCACCACAGACATGGGCAGCGTTTCGTCCCTCCTGGCTGCAATGAAACAGAACCACGAGGATGGCCTGAACCCTGCTCCTCCCAAGAAGAGCCTGACCAGGTCCATGACCAGCCTGGCCCAGAAGCTGAGTGGGAAGAGAACAGCGTACGACCTGCCTGCAGAGATGGAGGACTGCGGGCTGTTTGAGGCGGCACACCACCTGTTCCCCACACTGCCCCAGTACCACCCGGTACAGCTGCTGGAGCTCATGGACCTGGGGAAGGTCCGGCGGGCCAAGGCCATCCTCTCCCACCTCGTCAAATGCATCGCCGGGGAGATCGTGGCCCTCAAAGACAACGCCACCAACCAAGACAAGCGTCTCCGCTCGCGCACCATCAGCGCCGGCGGCAGCACCTCCAGGGACCCCAAGCGCTTCAGCAAGGGCGAGAGCTCGGACTACACAGAGATTGACTCCATCCCTCCCCTGCCACTGTACGCGCTGCTGGCGGCCGACGAGGACTTCTCCCCCAAGCCCAAGGACAAGGTGGCCAGCTTGAGTGGAGACAGTGGCCACGGGTCCAGTCAGACGGACGCCTACGATGAGCTCTTCCACAGCAGCGGGGTGGGCGTGGACGACCTGGAGCACATGGACAGCGACCAGGAGGATGGCGGTGCTAAGGTCATAGACCTGTCTCAATACAGCCCCACCTTCTTTGGGCCCGAGCACGCCCAGGTCCTGTCCAGCCACCTGCTGCATTCCAGCCTTCCGGGCCTGACCCGCATGGAGCAGATGTCCCTCATGGCCCTGGCTGACACCATCGCCACCACCAGCACTGACATCCGGGAGAGCCAGAGCAGGAGCAAAGGTACGGTTTCTCATTGAACCCTACACAAACTGTCCTTAATAGTCCTTCTCCTTAGAAATGTTGTTTTATGGACTAATATGAACAAAGGTGGTGTATTTGTTTTAATCTGGTAGAAGGCCTGTGAGGAGGAGTACTGTAGATGGTCATGTTCTATCCATTGACTAGGTGGAGAGACTTTGGATGAGTGCGGTCTGAAGTTCCTATTGGCTGTGAGGCTCCATACGTTCCTGCTGACCACCCTGCCCCCTGCCCATCGCGCCCAGCTGCTTCGCCAAGGTAGGCAGGGCTGAACTACAAGCATTTCGCTACACCCGCAAAAACATCTGCTAAAATATATGTGTGTGTGACCAATAAGATTTGATTTGAACTCAACACAGCTGAACACAGTAGCCCACTGAGGTTCAGGTGGTTAGAACATGGTGCTTGTTGCAACACTAGACTTGTGGCTTTAATTCCTGCATGACCAATCTATGCTGATTAGCCTATTTATTTTAGTAAAAAATACATAAATGAAATCGCTTTGGTTAAATGAATATATTATTACATTATCAAACAACTGTAGTGCCTCAAGCCTGGTGCTGTGTAGACTAGTGTGAAGTTTGATTGTCTGACAACCTGTGTTTGGTCCTCCAGGTCTGTCCACCTGTCACTACGCCTGGGCCTTCCACTCCGAGGCCGAGGACGAGCTGCTCAACATGCTACCTGCCCTGCAGAAGGAAGACCCCACCTGGCCCGAGCTCCGAGCCATGGGCATGGCCTGGTGGCTCAGGAGCACCAATAAACTCCGGAGGTGTATTGAAAAAGTGAGCCCATGTGTCTCATTTACCTATTGAGATCATTTTTCCTCCCTTTACCTGGATATGTAGTTATTGATTGCCTTATTCTTTGAGACACAAAAGGAGGACAGAGGCAGGATTTGCTGCACCACATAATTCAGTAATACAAATTAGAGAATGTGGAATGACCTGTATACGAATTTGTTTTTATACCTCCGTTATTCATCAGGTCGCAAAAGCGTCTTTTCAAAGGCAGAACGATCCTCTGGACGCTGCCATCTTCTATCTCGCTATGAAAAAGAAAGCGGTGGTCTGGGGACTGTACAGGTAACGTCTTTGAGAAGTTATTGAATATCATTTCCCATATCCCCTGACAAGATTGAAACAATTATTTCACATTACAGAAAGTCTAATAACAACTTGTGTTGATCCGTCAAGGTCTCAGAAGAATGCCAAAATGACAGCGTTCTTCAGCAACAACTTCGGTGAGGAAAGGTGGAGGAGGGCTGCCTTGAAGAACGCCTTCTCTCTGCTGGGGAAGCAGCGCTTCCAGCACTCTGCAGCCTTCTTCCTACTGGCAGGCTCCCTCAAGGACGCTGTGGAGGTAAAAATGTCCTCATATCACTGTCAGCAGCTACAGTAGATGTGATGTCCTTGTGCCACATTTTTCATACAAAGATTTTCAGGAGAGAGGTAGCTCTCTGTTATCTTTAAAAATATATATAGTTAAATACAAAGCTGTTTCTTTGAGCATTTATGCAAATTACATCTGGCCAGGCAAAGGGTAGAAGTGACCTGATATTCCTGTGGGGTATTTTTCTGAGCTGCTACTGCAAATGCTTTCAACACTGTTGGATGAGGTTTGGCTTGTCTTGTACAGGTTTGCCTGGAGAAGATGCAGGACCTGCAGCTGGCCCTGGTGATCTCCCGGCTCTATGAGTCAGAGTTTGAGACTTCCTCCACCTACAAGCGCATCCTGCAGAGGCACGTGCTGGGCCAAGACAGCCAGCTCCCTGCCCACCGGGACCCCTTCCTGCGCAGCACAGCCCACTGGGTACTGGAGGACTACAGCCGGGCCCTGGATACCCTGCTGGAGCAGCCTACTGCCCCAAACCTAGCGTCCTCCACTCAGGCTGGCCACACAACTCAACCAGGTAGTAGTCAGAGAACGATGCTTTTTCAGTTCTTAGATTTGACGTTTGGTTATTTTGAGGTAAATTGATGATGTGAATGCCTGGGGAAATGATAGAGCTGTGATTTGCAGGTACCTCGTCCATGTCCCTCTGTAGCCCGGAGGTCTTCAACTTCTACACCTACCTCCGCACACATCCCTTACTGCTGCGCCGCCACTTCGGCTCGTCTGAGAAGACCAGGGTGGGTCTGACGGCGGAGGGCCACATGGCACACTCCATCAGCCTGGTGGAGAGGAGGCTGTTCTTCACCGCAGCCTACGCTCACCTGCAGGCCGGCTGCCCCATGCTGGCCCTGGAGGTCCTCTCCAAAATGCCCAAAGTCCTCAAAAGATCCAAGCTCCACCAGGACGAACTCACCAACCCCGACCTGAGCGAGATGAAAAAGGAACAGGCGTCAGATTTGGACTGGTCTCAGCCCACGTTGAATGGCTTCGAGTCGGTGTCAGACAGCTTGTCCAATAGCCAATCGGACTCTGTGCTGAGTTTTGACTGGGGCCAGCCCTCTGTGTCGGTTCAGGATGACACCCTGGAGTTGAAATGGGACAGCGACAAGGAGGATGAGGAGGACGAACCACAGGGCTTGGCCATGAAGAACATCAGCGCCGACAACACCAGTAGTGTCTTCCAGGGCGACATCTCTCCGTTGACGGAGACGCCGCTGGACGAGGCCGACGTCCTCATGCCCTCTGAGGACATCCTTGCCGCTCAACTCAAGTTCAGCGCCTGCCTGAAGATCCTGACCACGGAGCTGCGGACCCTGTCCACGGGTTACGAGCTGGACGGGGGGAAGCTGCGCTACCAGCTCTGCCAGTGGCTGGAGAGGGAGGTGGTGTCCCTGCAGAGGTGCTGCAGCTACAAGCCCTGCCTGCCAGAGTTGGCCCTGGGAATGGCAGGGCCGGGGGGAGAGGAGGAGGCCCAGGCCCGGCCTGGTGAGGCCCAGCGCACCCGCAGACACTGGCTCCAGAGCAACCAGCCTCTCCTGCGCATGTTCCTCAGCTACTGCAGCCTGCACGGCTCCCATGGAGGAGGCCTGGCCTCGGTGCGCATGGAACTCATCCTGCTGCTGCAGGAGTCCCAACAGGTACAGCACACACACTAACAAACGGACACAATATATACTGTGTACAAAACATTAGGAACATTAGCACCCCCTTATGCCTTCAGAACAGCCTCAATTCGTCGGGGCATGGACTCTACAAGGTGTTGAAAGCGTTCCACAGGGATGCTGGCCCATGTTGACTCCAATGGTTCCCACAGTTGTGTCAAGTTGGCTGGATGTCCTTTGGGTGGTGGACCATTCTTGATACACACGGGAAACTGTTGAGCGTGAAAAACCCAGCAGCATTGCAGTTTTTCACACTTGAAAGGAACTAAAATATTTTTTCTTGCCCATTCACTCTGAATGGCACATGTACACAATCCATGTCTCAAGGCTTTAAAATCATTCTTTAACCTGTCTCCTCCCCTTCATCTACACTGATTTTAAGTGGATTTAACAGTTGACATCAATAAGGATCATAGCTTTCACCTGGTCAGTCTGTCATGGAAAGAGCAGATGTTCCTAATGTTTTGTACACTGTGTATATTTACGCAATAAAGCATGAGGGGGTTTGGTATATGGCCAATATACCACGGCTAAGGGCTGTTCTTAAGCACGACACAATGCTGAGTGCCTGGATACAGCCATTAGCCGTGGTATATTGGCCATATATCACAAATCCCCAAGGTGACTTATTGCTATTATAAACTGGTTACCAATGTAATTAGATTTTTTGTCATACCCGTGGTATACTGTCTGATATACCACGGCTTTCAGCCAATCAGCATTCAGAGCTCCAACCACCCAGTTTATAATTATACTGAACAGAAATATAAACGCAGCATGCAACAATTTCAAAGATTTTACTGAGTTACAGTTCATGTACGGAAATCAGTCAATTGAATTAAATTAATCTATGGATTTCACATGACTGGGAATACAGATATAGGGGCGTGGATCAGAAAACCAGTCAGTATCTGGTGTGACCACCATTTGCCTCATGCAGGGCGACACATCTCCTTCGCATAGAGTTGCTCAGGCTGTTGATTGTGGCCTGTGGAATGTTGTCCCACTCCTCTTCAATGGCTGTGCGAAGTTGCTGGATATTGGCGGGAACTGGAACACGCTGTCATACATGTCGTTCCAGAGCATCCCAAACATGCTCAATGGGTGACATGTCTGGTGAGTATGCAGGCCATGAAAGAACTGGGACATTTTCAGCTTCAAGGAATTGTGTACAGATCCTTGTGACATGGGGCCGTGCATTATCATACTGAAACATGATTATCATACTGCACATTTTAGTGGCCTTTTATTGTCCCCAGCACAAGGTGCACTTGTGTAATGATCATGCTGTTTTAATCAGCTTCTTGATATGCCACACCTGTCAGGTGGATGGATTATCTTGGCAAATGATAAATGTTCACTAACATGGATGTAAACAAATTTGTGCACAATTTGAGAGAAATACGCATTTTGTGCATATTGAACATTTCTGGGATCTTTATTTCAGCTCATGAAACATGGGACCAACACTTTACATGTTGCGTTTATATATTTTTGTTCAGTGTACTATTAAAACCCTTCTAACAAAAAAGTATCTTTGTTGTAAACAAGACTAAGAAAAAGGCTCTTGCATCTCAGTACTTGACAGCAAGTTCTCTGAGAGATACGAAGGAAGGGCAACACAAAAACTGAAGCAAAGAAAACGGAGCTTGCCATTTTATCTCAGCCTCGCGTTTGCCTTAAAGCAGCAAACCGAGGTTTCCAGCGGGCGACTGGGGTTTCACGTAGCTGATGGGTGACATCAGTGACTTCTCCAGTGAGTGGCTGGCTGTCTGACAGACAAGACTGATTCTCAGCTCTCTTCTCTTCTGAGGCCTCGTTCTACTTGTAGGGAGACATAAGCTACGAGTCACCAACACCAGGAACACACGCACTGCTCTCATCAAGAGCGTTTGGAACATCACATGCTCCTGTCATACCACATGACGGGAACTCCTCTGACTCCTCTGTCTGAGATGACTTACTTTTAGTTTGGCATTAAGGTGGATGGGTTAGGGTCACCCCCCTCCTCCGCACACTCCACTGGCTTCCAGTTGAAGCTCGCATCCGCTACAAGACCATGGTGCTTGCCTATGGAGCAGTGAGGGGAACGGCACCTCTGTACCTTCAGGCTCTGATCAGTCCCTACACCCAAACGAGGGCATTGCGTTCATCCACCTCTGGCCTGCTGGCTCCCCTTCCTCTGCGGAAGCATAGCTCCCGCTCAGCCCAGTCAAAACTGTTCGCTGCTCTGGCACCCCAATGGTGGAACAAGCTCCCTCACGACGCCAGGACAGCGGAGTCACTCACCACCTTCCGGAGACATTTGAAACCCCACCTCTTTAAGGAATACCTGGGATAGGATAAAGTATTCCTTCTAACCCCCCCCCCCCCCCCCCCCCCCCCCCCCCGCCCCAAATTGTAAAGTGGTTATCCCACTGGCTATAGGGTGAACGCACCAATTTGTGAGTCGCTCTGGCTAAGAGCGTCTGCTAAATGACGTTAATGTGCCCTTGAGCAAGGCACTTAACCCTAATTGCTCCTGTAAGTCGCTCTGGATAAGAGCGTCTGCTAAATGACTAAAATGTAAAATGTAAATGTAAGTCTCTGATCTGATGCGTGAAGCGCAGCGTGGTAGCCAGCCTGCAATTGTGTATCTATTTTTTTTTTATGTAACGATACGCATCTGTCCCCGGTTCAAATGTTTAAGATGCAAATGAATCGGGCGGCGGAATCCCAAACTGATTTAAAGTGAAGCTTTCATCCGTAAGAAAACCGATTTAAACGTTACGAATCTCCGGTTCACTAACGTGTTTTACTCATTTTCCCCCATTCCTTATTACGAAAATACATAATCTGTTGTGACTGAGTTGTTGCGTCCTCTCCTTAAGCCTATCGAACTGGTAATCATGGAACTGCGTATGACATTGATCTACAATTCCGATAACTGTGCGCACAGTGCAGGAGAAGCAGCTGATCGCGCCAACGAGAGGTAGGCCTACCCTATCCCTGTTTAAATGTATAGGCTATATCTGCGCGGCACCTTCAGCATTCAGATGTTTGTAAAATGGCTTTCGCAATAATAAAGCATTGTCATATAGCAGTTTTAAAATGATTTGAGCTAGTAATGTCAATATTTATCTTTAGAAATTGAGGTTCAGCCAATGTAATCTTCTAGGTCATTGTTACCAAATGCGCTGTAGAAACTAGTTTTACCAGAGGGGCTGTGTCGCTGTAGAAACTAGTTTTACCAGAGGGGCTGTGTCGCTGTAGAAACTAGTTTTACCATAGGGGCTGTGTCGCTGTAGAAACTAGTTTTACCAGAGGGGCTGTGTCGCTGTAGAAACTAGTTTTACCAGAGGGGCTGTGTCGCTGTAGAAACTAGTTTTACCAGAGGGGCTGTGTCGCTGTAGAAACTAGTTTTACCAGAGGGGCTGTGTCGGCTACCGGAGTGGACACAACTCGCATCTTGCTGCTGATTGCCATTTAACTACTGATTGGGGCTTTTCAATTGCCAGGTTCACCATACAAAATATTTTAGGTGGTTTTGTGCATTTGGTCATTTTTACATGAACAGGGTAAAGATGTAATTTCATAACAAGAACAGCAATCATTTTTGCAAGATGCACTGGTCAGAACGGGAGAAGAGAGAGCAGCTCTCCTCTAAAGTTCCAAAGGGGGTGAAATCCCAGTTGTTGAGAGGGGTGAAATTACTAGCTCAAAACATTTTACACTGCTATATGACAAGTTAATCAGTGGGTGATGATGATTTCAGATAAAAAGTGGGGGGGCCAAAAACAATGTTATAGTGGTAGAGGCTCAGTCTGCCCTATGGCTCAGCTCACATTCTACATCATTCACTCACACATGCACACACCTAAACACAGTTAGCTCAGACAGATCCTACTCAACTCCTGATCTCCATCAGATATTCATTTAGAATGGAAAATGAATGTGTCATGCAACAATTGTTAGTGCATCGATTAGAATCGAACCACATCGATTCGTTCCACTAATCGAATAGCAAAGAATAGTTTCAAACTAAAAGTATCATTCCTGTATCGTATCAGAGCCCGTGTATCTAGATGCGTATCGAATCGTGCTTGTAAGGAGAGATTCACATCCCTACTATTTGTATTTCCATGCTTTGTTTTTGAGAGCTGTAGTTTATGTATTTTCTTTGTTAGTCTTCATGCATTCACGCCATGCTACTCTGTCCACAGGATGACAGTGCCCAGTTGGCTGTCACCCCATACCTGCATCATGCCTCCATCCCTCTCCTGCTGGCCTGCACTGCCAGCGCCAAGACAGTGGTGGCCAACCCCATCGTCCATCTGACCAACCTCACCCACGACATCCTGCACACCATCAACGCGCTTGACTCCCCGCCACACCCAGACGTCATCAACAACGAGGTCAGACACACATACACCAGCCAAGGCTGTCATCATGCTGTGTGCTCCAAACAAAGATCATTGTTGAGAGATCAGAGTGGTACTTGTGGTGGAGTTGGGGCCGTGTTGGTTGGGGGGGCCAAGGTTGAGGTGGGGCAGTGCTGTGAATTTGACAGGGGTGGTAATGTGCTGTGAATTTGACAGGGGCGGTAATGTGCTGTGAATTTGACAGGGGTGGTAATGTGCTGTGAATTTGACAGGGGTGGTAATGTGCTGTGAATTTGACAGGGGTGGTAATGTGCTGTGAATTTGACAGGCGGTAATGTGCTGTGAATTTGACAGGGGCGGTAATGTGCTGTGAATTTGACAGTGGTGGTAATGTGCTGTGAATTTGACAGTGGTGGTAATGTGCTGTGAATTTGACAGGGGCTGTAATGTGCTGTGAATTTGACAGGGGCGGTAATGTGCTGTGAATTTGACAGGGGCGGTAATGTGCTGTGAATTTGACAGGGGCGGTAATGTGCAGATATTGTGATAGATGGATATCCCTGGTAATATAAGGTGAGTTGATGGTGGGAAGGAGTGTTCCGCTGCTCCTAGTGTATCTGATGCATAAATGCCTCCTGCTCTTCCAGATCTATGTGATGCACACGCTGGCAGCCTCGCTGTCCGCCTGCATATACCAGTGTCTCTGCGACGGCCACAACCACAGGTTAGTCTGAATCCTAACGCTGCTAACTTTGACCTGTGCTCTCGATCTCTGTACTGGAACGCCACACAACCAAGAGCATGCTGGAAAATGCACATAAGGCAGCAGTTCAGACATTTGAACTGTTTTTATTTTATTTTTTATTTAACTAGGCAAGTCAGAACTGCACCGTGCATCTGATTTTGAGAATCTGCCTGTCACTGTATGTTATAATGATCATTCAAACGTAGTCCTGTTTTCTGATCCTCTTAACAGCTGTACTACTACAAGGGGGAAACGTGTATAAAGTTAAAGTAGAGAGAAGGCTTTTTTCTTTTTTTTTGTTGACTTGTCTAGCAATTGAATGACCTTTTTAAAAATAGGAGTCACGTGACTGAGCCCAGCCCTCCGCCTGACCTTGGCATTTGAAAGCTCCCAGATCTGTAAATGAGTAAGGACTTTGTTTTGTGCCGTGACTAACAGTTCAGCCTCTCGTGTGTAGGATGAAGCGCTGCAGTCCGACTAAATTAGCTTTTTTCTAATTCAACACTCCCCTTTGTTATGCTAATGAACCCCACACGGCAGTCATGCTATGAGGTTCTAAATTCAGCTCATGGTAGGTGATTCTGTGAAAGGCTTTGTTAGAAGGACGCTGGCTTTTTATATTGTTGTGCTGCAGACACTCTCACGGTCCTTTTCAACCTGCTCTGTCCGCTAAAGAAGCACTTTAAGTTGTAATATTGCAGATTTAGCCTGTACACTTCCAGTAACTCCATTCTGTGTTACGTGACAGCAATCAGCTCTTTCATGCGAGCTTAGAGGATTCAGTAGATATACAATGTACTGTAATATACCCGTCAGTATACTGTAATATACCCGTCAGTATACTGTAATATACCCGTCAGTATACTGTAATATACCCGTCAGTATACTGTAATACAACCGTCAGTATACTGTAATATACCCGTCAGTATACTGTAATATACCCGTCAGTATACTGTAATATACCCGTCAGTATACTGTAATATACCCGTCAGTATACTGTAATATACCCGTCAGTATACTGTAATACAACCGTCAGTATACTGTAATACAACCGTCAGTATACTGTAATATACCCGTCAGTATACTGTAATACAACCGTCAGTGTACTGTAATATACAACCGTCAGTGTACTGTAATATACAACCGTCATTATACTGTAATACAACCGTCAGTATACTGTAATATACCCGTCAGTATACTGTAATATACCCGTCAGTATACTGTAATATACCCGTCAGTATACTGTAATATACCCGTCAGTATACTGTAATATACCCGTCAGTATACTGTAATACAACCGTCATGTTGTGAGAGCTATATATCCCCACTGTGAGAGATGGAACTCCGTGCTGCCTCCCTCCTGGTCCCCAACTCATTAAATATCTAGAGAAGGCTCTTTGATGTCAGAATACACTTCTGCGCTTCATCTATAGATCTCCTGAATTCTTTATGGTAACCAGAGGGTGAGGAGCCGCAGCAGTGTATTAGTGTTTTATGTGTTAAATCTGCCGTGCAAAACTTCTCTGGATTCAGAGAAGTTAACATTTACAGTGTGCTCCATATAGCCCTATGTACACGTTGAGAATCCCTTGTTTAATGGAACGTCCCATTCCTTCTTGCTAAATGACTGAGTGGGGTGTCCTTCCTTGTTTTTCTCTCCTCCCAGCCATGTGAACCAATTCACTGGGATAGTGTACCAGAGTATCCTCTCCTTCCAGCACCACCCGGTACGCACCGTGAGCACGGAGGAGACTGTACTTCCCAACACCCACCCAGCACAGTGGCCAGGTAAACCCACTTTACTTCTACAAGTTTTCACTTCATTTCACAGAAATGAGCCCATGTATCCTGTCTGGAGAACCATCGCTAGTTTGCTACATTTAAAGCGGTAAACTGCAGTTCAAACAATAAAGTGAACATCCCGCCCCTGTTTTGGTAAAAAGCTGAGGGATGGTCTGGAGAAATGTCTCAAAATTCATAGACAGAGCTATGGATGCAAGGACTGACCATCCGTGATATAAAAATGACAGTTTTAACCATGGCTTGAGGCTATGCAGTGTTTGTTTACAATTACATTGTTTACAAACATTGGAGTAAAACAAACATATATTTTGGGTTCTAATGTGGTACAACAGTTGAACTAAGCTCATGAGGCATTTATACGTTATATTCTTCAAGAATCAATGAGTACATAGTATTAATTTAAAAGTTTTAAAAAAATTGATGTAGCAACCGCAGATTGCCCCTTTAACACCACAGTCCTAAACATACAACCTTAAAGGATCACCTTACACCAAAAAAACATTTTAGTATTTTGTTAATTCATATTTTGTTAATTAGTATGTTGTTTATTATTTTGTTAATTAGTATTTTGTTCAATAAAAAGCAAAAAGTGTGATGATGCCTTTTGTATCGTGATGCATTTTACATCATCACACTTTGCTTTTTACTGAAAGTGCTCCATCTTAAAAATATATATACTGCTGACATATCCCATTTTTTTGGGACCATATCAACAGTTAATGAACAACATACTGAAATATGTTTTTTGAGTAAAGTGATCCTTTAATTCTAGTCAATTCATTCACTCTCTCTCCCTCACGATCTCTGTGTGTCAGGTATCAGTGCCCTGATCCGCCTGTTGAACTCTGCTGGTGAGGAGAGCCAGCCAGGCCTGGCCGTGTTACTGTGTGAGATCCTGACGGCCGTCTTCCTCAGCCTGTTTGTGCACGGCCTGGCCACCCACTCCAGCAACGAGCTGTTCCGCATCGTGGCCCACCCGCTCAACAGCAAGCTGTGGGTAGCCGTGTTCGGAGGGGGGACACGTACCCCCATCACAGAGAAGCCCAGTCCGGCCAAGTCACCTCCAGGTCTGTCTCTCTCTGTCTCTCTCTCTGTCTCTCTCTCTCTCTCTCTCTCTCTCTCTCTCTCTCTCTCTCTCTCTCTCTCTCTCTCTCTCTCTCTCTCTCTCTCTCTCTCTCTCTCTCTCTCTCTCTCTCTCTCTCTCTCTCTCTCTCTCTCTCTCTCTGTCTCTGTCTCTGTCTCTCTCTGTGTCTCTGTCTCTCTGTGTGCGCAAGCCAGATGTAGAGGCTGATGTAACTGGAACGCAAGGGTGGGCAACTCAGAGCCTGGTGGGCCCCAGTGTGTGCAGGCTTCTCCCCTGATTCAGAGAATAATGATCTGTTGAAGATTGTGATTGGTTGAATCGGGTGTATTACTGCTGGGCTGGAACAACAGCCTACACACACAGCAGCTCTTGTTTATCTCAATAATATCTTGAATATTATGTCAGTTTTACGCACTAATATAAAGCATCATTACCTTGAAAAATGGCAAGTCCAGTACATCCAATATATATGGCGTGTTTGTGGTTGTCTCAGCAGGCAGTGAGGAGTTAGACAGGAAGCCCAGGCGCTTCAAGCTGCTGTCGTCGTCACGCAGTGCCTCCAGAGAGGGGCCAGAGAGCCCCGGCCCAACCAGCCCCGTGGTGGAGCAAGAGACCTCCATCTTCAAAGAGCACTTTGTCCCCCCGGAGCTCAGCATCTGGGACTACTTCATCGCAAAGGTACCGTAGTAGTGTACACTTCCAGGTTCATAGTTAACTACAACCACGCCCCTCTGAAGACCCAGTCATTCAGCTCATTCTAACATGTATGAGTTTATAGTGTGTTTTTCCCCTCCTCCTCTTCCTCCCACAGCCTTTCCTCCCTCCGTCAGAGAGCAGGGTGGAGTACGACTCGGAGGAGAGCCAGGGCAGTCAGGACGAGGATGATGATGATGAAGAAGACGAGTATGGAGACTTTGACCCCAACTCTCCAAGCCGAGAACATTCCAACCCCAACTCCTACAGGTACAGTCGGTGGCTCCAACTCCTGCAGGTACAGTCGGTGGCCCAAACTCCTGCAGGTACAGTCGGTGGCCTCAACTCCTGCAGGTACAGTCGGTGGCCCCAACTCCTGCAGGTACAGTCGGTGGTCCCAACTCCTGCAGGTACAGTCGATGGCCCCAACTCCTGCAGGTACAGTCGGTGGCCCCAACTCCTGCAGGTACAGTCGGTGGCTCTGTCGAACACAAGGCAACACTATCAAAGCAAATGGACGTTACTCTTGTCAGTGATGGTTGGACATGACAATGGTGATTTCTCTGTGTGTCCAGTTGGTGTTTGATGCGCCTGGCCATGGTCCAGCTGGTCCTGGGCAATCTGAAGTCCTTCTACCCCATGGCAGGCCACGACCTACTAGGTACAGTACACTAACATTTAACATTTAAGTCATTTAGCAGACGCTCTTATCCAGAGCCACTTAGAAATTGGTGCATTCAACTTAGGATAGCCAGTGGGACAACCACCCTTTATTTTTATTTTGTGGGGGAGGGGGAGGGTAGAAGGATTACTGTTATACTATTCCAGGTATTCCTTGTAGGGTTTCAAGTGTCTCCGCAAGGTGGTCAGTGATAACTAGCCTACACAACCACTGGTCTAATGACTATTTGTGGAGAGGATTTTAGTTGGAAGCATTAGCTTGTAGTGATTGTGAAGTCCAAACTAAGAGAGGGAATCTGTGATATTGAACCTGTTTAGGACCTAAACTATGGATGAAGAATTTGTATGAACCATGAATGAAGACTCCCTTTTAGATAACTGCCTTCCCTTTTTGTGAAGTCTCTCTCCTCTGAATGTACTGTTGTTAATGTCACCTAGTGTTTGTGTACAGTGAAGGAAAAAAGTATTTGATCCCCTGCTGATTTTGTAAGTTTGATTTGAACAGTGAGAGACAGAATAACAACATAAAAATCCAGAAAAACGCATGTCAAAAATTTTATACATTGATTTGCATTTTAATGAGGGAAATAAGTATTTGACCCCCTCTCAATCAGAAAGATTTCTGGCTCCCAGGTGTCTTTTTATACAGGTAACGAGCTGAGATTAGGAGCACACTCTTAATGGGAGTGCTCCTAATCTCAGCTTGTTACCTGTATAAAAGACACCTGTCCACAGAAGCAATCAATCAATCAGATTCCAAACTCTCCACCATGGCCAAGACCAAAGCGCTCTCCAAGGATGTCAGGGACAAGATGTGTAGGTGTACAAAGGCTGGAATGGGCTACAAGACCATCGCCAAGCAGCTTGGTGAGAAGGTGACAACAGTTGGTGCGATTATTCGCAAATGGAAGAAACACAAAATAACTGTCAATCTCCCTCGGCCCGGGGCTCCATGCAAGATCTCACCTCGTGGAGTTGCAATGATCATGAGAACGGTGAGGAATCAGCCCAGAACTACACGGGAGGATCTTGTCAATGATCTCAAGGCAGCTGGGACCATAGTCACCAAGAAAACAATTGGTAACACACTACGCCGTGAAGGACTGAAATCCTGCAGCGCCCGCAAGGTCCCCCTGCTCAAGAAAGCACATATACAGGCCCGTCTGAAGTTTGCCAATGAACATCTGAATGATTCAGAGGAGAACTGGGTGAAAGTGTTGTGGTCAGATGAGACCAAAATGGAGCTCTTTGGCATCAACTCAACTCGCCGTGTTTGGAGGAGGAGGAATGCTGTCTATGACCCCAAGAACACCATCCCCACCGTCAAACATGGAGGTGGAAACATTATGCTTTGGGGGTGTTTTTCTGCTAAGGGGACAGGACAACTTCACCGCATCAAAGGGACGATGGACGGGGCCATGTACCGTCAAATCTTGGGTGAGAACCTCCTTCCCTCAGCCAGGGCATTGAAAATGGGTCGTGGATGGGTATTCCAGCATGACAATGACCCAAAACACACGGCCAAGGCAACAAAGGAAGTGGCTCAAGAATAAGCACATTAAGGTCCTGGAGTGGCCTAGCCAGTCTCCAGACCTTAATCCCATAGAAAATCTGTGGAGGGAGCTGAAGGTTCGAGTTGCCAAACGTCAGGCTCGAAACCTTAATGACTTGGAGAAGATCTGCAAAGAGGAGTGGGACAAAATCCCTCCTGAGATGTGTGCAAACCTGGTGGCCAACTACAAGGAAACGTCTGACCTCTGTGATTGCAAACAAGTGTTTTGCAACCAAGTACTGAGTCATGTTTTGCAGAGGGGTCAAATACTTATTTCCCTCATTAAAATGCAAATCAATTTATAACATTTTTGACATGCGCGTTTATGGATTTTGTTGTTGTTATTCTGTCTCTCACTGTTCAAATAAACCTACCATTAAAATTATAGACTGATCATGTCTTTGTCAGCGGGCAAACGTACAAAATCAGCAGGTGATCAAATACTTTTTTCCCCTCACTGTATATCTCTTAGATCTACCTGTGGGCTCTCCTCTGTGTCACGCGGTGCTGAAGACCCTCCAGCGCTGGGAGCAGGTGTTGCTGAAGAGGCTGGAGATCTTCGGGGGGCCGCCCTCCAAGTACATCTCCACACACCCTCTGGACGAGACGGCTGCCTCGGGCCCCGCCATCCTCAGACACAAAGCCCTGTTTGAGCCATCCAACACACCTTTCAGGTGAGCTCGAAACGAATGGGAATTCTGTGTATTGATATGTTTGCCATAACATTCTGTAAATCAGTGGTCACCAACTGGTCAATCGCGATCGACTGGTTGATCTTCAAGGCATTCCTAGTCGATCACCAAACATTTCTGTAGAAAAGCCAACGATGCTGGTCCCCTGATCAGCGGTTGCGTGCATCAACCTATGGTTGCGTGCCACATCATCGACTGTCATCGACTGACAGATTGCTATAACATATGATGTGGTTAGCTGATACGTAAAATACATATCCAGACGTAAGATCTGGCAGGGGTCAGCAACGCCTGGGGCAGAGGAATGCGCCCAAGGCCTTGCGCTCCAATTTATTTTTTTCTATTCGTCTTGCGATGTTGGTGCACTTGATTCAGAAGCCCTCCGCACCAGGTAGGCAAAGTGTTCACATTTTTAACCATTTCATTTGTCTGAAGGGACAAACTCAAGTGCGCCTACTGCTCTGGCCAATCGGATAGCTCAAAATACCGTGCCCATAGCTTTCACGACCCCACAGTAAAGTTTGATACTAGCCTACTTGAGATTTCATAACTTTTAAAACCATGACCAGAAAGAGACTGTCAAACAATACAGCAAATATCTGCTGTTTTTATGAGTGACTTCATGTTTACGTTTTTATTTATTTATACACTGTCAACACTGTTTTTATTCAACACTGTTTTTATTAAACACTGTCAACACTGTTTTTATTCAACACTGTCAACACTGTTTTTATTCAACACTGTTTTTATTCAACACTGTTTTTATTCAACACTGTCAACACTGTTTTTATTCTGCACTTTTACAAAACATAAAACGTGCTTCTCCCTACTTCCACTCAGGCTACAACCAGCACTGCAGCTGCAATACACGAGTAGCCAAGTGTATCGAATTTTTATAATTAGCAGCTCGTCGTATATTTTAATATCAAGGGATATTTCACTTTCTCTGGTCATAGGAATAACATTAATTTGTGCATGAGGCAGAAATAATGTGTTGCGTCTCAAGTTGGGCCGTCAGATGGAAGACGGTCTCCTCTCTCTGGTCAGTTTCACCAGAGAAAAAGAGAGGACAGGGACCGTGAGAGACGGACCCTCTGCTGCTCTCTCCCTCCACTGAGACTGACCATCAGATGCAGGTACCATCAGTCCAGTAAAATAGCTGTGCCTCGCAACTGATACAACAACTGATCTAATTTCTTATCAAAGATTGAGTTATGAAATGTAATATGGTCTGAGAAGAACAATATTGGCAGGCCAAGCAAGCCAATATGCTGTGTTAATGTATCAGGCCTACTGCACAAACCTCATTCCTACAGAACTGTTTTTATTACGTTAATGTTGCATAGACATTACAAGTCATGTTTAAAATAAATCTGACGTGATCTTGACTCCGAAAAGGTTGGTGACCACTGCTGTAAATGTAGGTTTTTCGGTACACTGATATGATCCACACAACGTCATAAATGCCTTTTGTAAGAGAGCCTGTGTGAGCTGTATAACCGAGGGGAGTGTTGTGTTGTGTGGCTACAGGTCCAGTCACCACTCTGCCCTGCCTGTGAAGAGGCTGTGGCAGTACCTGGTCAAACAGGAGGAGGTGCAGGAAACGTTCATCCGCAATATTTTCACCAAGAAACGAGACCAAAGCGAGGTAGCTACAACTCCGCCCACCCACCGCATGCAGACAGCTGAGCAGTCTGAGCACTGACACATTGCATACTGTCACTGAATAACATCTCCCATTGAATAATACCTTTTTCTATCCCCGTTGACGCATTTCTGCTTTTGTTTTTGCATGTTCCTCGTATTTCTATCCTAATTGCCTTTTTAATATATGGATTTTTGGTGAATAATATTGTTCTTAAACCCTGATAATTAACAGTCTAATTCTAGATTGTGTTTCCTGTTGACTCTGCATGATTCATCACATTGTTTTGTCTGATGTCTTGGGGGCTTCTCAAATAATTAAGTCGGTTGAGGACCACAATGAAAATGACAAATGTTCAGGGATGGAGGAGCCTAGCTGTAACCAGGTACTGCTTTGGTTCATTTTGTTGGTGGGGGTTTATGGGTTGTAATAATAATTTGGATTGACCAGTAAAATCATTCAGTTTTTTCCTGTTTTTAATTGACACCTGTGTTTTACGCTGGGAAAGTGTCATCTATTTCCGCCCTCCACTTCCATGTCCACGTTTTCTGTTTTTAACTGGACTTCAAGATTATATCATGAAATTCAAACATACACTACCGTTCAAAAGTTTGGGGTCACTTAGAAATGTCCTTGTTTTGGAAAGAAAGCAATTTTTTTTTGTCCATTAAAATAACATAAAATTGATCGGAAATACAGTGTAGACGTTGTTAATGTTGTAAATGGCTATTGTAGCTAGAAACGGCTGATTTTTAACGGAATGTCTACATAGGCGTACAGAGGCCCATTATCAGCAACCATCAGTCCTGTGTTCCAATGGCACGTTGTGTTTGCTAATCCAAGTTGATTATTTTAAAAGGCTAATTGATCATTAGAAAACCCTTTTGCAAGTGACCCCAAACTTTTGAACGGTAGTGTACATACAGTGGGGAGAACAAGTATTTGATACACTGCTGATTTTGCAGGTTTTCCTACTTACAAAGCATGTAGAGGTCTGTAATTTTTATCATAGGTACACTTCAACTGTGAGACACGGAATCTAAAACAAAAATCCAGAAAATCACATTGTATGATTTGTAAGTAATTAATTTGCATTTTATTGCATGACATAAGTATTTGATCACCTACCAACCAGTAAGAATTCCGGCTCTCACAGACCTGTTAGTTTTTCTTTAAGAAGCCCTCCTGTTCTCCACTCATTACCTGTATTAACTGCACCTGTTTGAACTCGTTACCTGTATAAAAGACACCTGTCCACACACTCAATCAAACAGACTCCAACCTCTCCACAATGGCCAAGACCAGAGAGCTGTGTAAGGACATCAGGGATAAAATTGTAGACCTGCACAAGGCTGGGATGGGCTACAGGACAATAGGCAAGCAGCTTGGTGAGAAGGCAACAACTGTTGGCGCAATTATTAGAAAATGGAAGAAGTTCAAGATGACGGTCAATCACCCTCGGTCTGGGGCTCCATGCAAGAGCTCACCTCGTGGGGCATCAATGATCATGAGGAAGGTGAGGGATCAGCCCAGAACTACACAGCAGGACCTGGTCAATGACCTGAAGAGAGCTGGGACCACAGTCTCAAAGAAAACCATTAGTAACACACTACGCCGTCATGGATTAAAATCCTGCAGCGCACGCAAGGTCCCCCTGCTCAAGCCAGCGCATGTCCAGGCCCGTCTGAAGTTTGCCAATGACCATCTGGATGTTCCAGAGAAGGAATGGGAGAAGGTCATGTGGTCTGATGAGACAGAAATAGAGCTTTTTGGTCTAAACTCCACTCGCCGTGTTTGGAGGAAGAAGAAGGATGAGTACAACCCCAAGAACACCATCCCAACCGTGAAGCATGGAGGTGGAAACATCATTCTTTGGGGATGCTTTTCTGCAAAGGGGACAGGACGACTGCACCGTATTGAGGGGAGGATGGATGGGGCCATGTATCGCGAGATCTTGGCCAACAACCTCCTTCCCTCAGTAAGAGCATTGAAGATGGGTCGTGGCTGGGTCTTCCAGCATGACAACGACCCGAAACACACAGCCAGGGCAACTAAGGAGTGGCTCCGTAAGAAGCATCTCAAGGTCCTGGAGTGGCCTAGCCAGTCCCCAGACCTGAACCCAATAGAAAATCTTTGGAGGGAGCTGAAAGTCCGTATTGCCCAGCGACAGCCCCGAAACCTGAAGGATCTGGAGAAGGTCTGTATGGAGGAGTGGGCCAAAATCCCTGCTGCAGTGTGTGCAAACCTGGTCAAGACCTACAGGAAACGTATGATCTCTGTAATTGCAAACAAAAGTTTCTGTACCAAATATTAAGTTCTGCATTTCTGATGTATCAAATACTTATGTCATGTAATAAAATGCAAATTAATTACTTAAAAATCATACAATGTGATTTTCTGGATTTTTGTTTTAGATTCCGTCTCTCACAGTTGAAGTGTACCTATGATAAATAAATTACAGACCTCTACATGCTTTGTAAGTAGGAAAACCTGAAAAATCGGCAGTGTATCAAATACTTGTTCTCCCCACTGTATATACATACATACAGTACCAGTCAAAAGTTTGGACACACCTACTCATTCAAGGGTTTTTCTTTATTTTTACTATTTTCTACATTGTAGAGTAATAGTGAAGACATCAAAACTATGAAATAACACATATGGAATCATGTAGTAACCAAAAAGGTGTTAAACAAATCAAACTATATTTTATATTTGAGTTTCTTCAAATAGCCACCCTTTGCCTTGATGACAGCTTTGCACACACTTGGCATTCTCTCAACCAGCTTCAGCTGGAATGTTTTTCCAACAGTCTTGAAGGAGTTCCCACATATGCTGAGCACTTGTTGGCTGCTTTTCCTTCACTCTGCTGTCCAACTCATCCCAAACCATCTCAATTGGGTTGAGGTCGGGGGATTGTGGAGGCCAGGTCATCTGACGCAGCACTCCATCACTCTCCTTCTTGGTCAAATAGCCCTTATACAGCCTGGAGGTGTGTAAATGACATATTATTGTCCTGTTGGAAAACAAATGATAGTCCCACTAAGCTGAAAACCAAATGGGTTGGCGTATCGCTGCAGAATGCTGTGGTAGCCATGCTGGTTAAGTGTGCCTTGAATTCTAAATAAATCACTGACCGTGTCACCAGCAAAGCACCCCCACACCATAACACCACCTCCTCCATGCCTTACAGTGGGAACTACACATGCAGAGATCATCCGTTCACCCACACCGCGTCTCACAAAGACACAGCGGTTGGAACCAAAAATCTCAAATTTGGACTCATCAGACCAAAGGACAGATTTCCACCGGTCTAATGTCCATTGCTCGTGTTTCTTGGCCCAAGCAGGTCTCTTCTTCTTATTGGTGTCCTTTAGTAGTGTTTTTTTTGCAGCAATTCGACCATGAAGGCCTGATTCACACAGTCCCCTATGAACAGTTGATGTTGAGATGTGTCTATGACATGAACTCTGTGAAGCATTTATTTGGGCTGCAATTTCTGAGGCTGGTAACTCTAATGAACTTATCCTCTGCAGCAGAGGTAACTCTGGGTCTTCCATTCCTGTGGCGGTCCTCATGAGAGCAAGTGTCATCATAGCGCTTGATGGTTTTTGCAACTGCACTTGAAGAAACTTTCAAAGTTCTTGAAATGTTCCGTATTGTCTTAAAGTAATGATGGAATGTCAATTCTCTTTGCTTATTTGAGCTGTTCTTGCCATAATATGGACTTGGTATTTTACCAAATAGGGCTATCTTCTGTATAACCCCCCCTACCTTGTCACAACACAACTGATTGGCTCAAACGCATTAAGAAGGAAAGAAATTCCACAAATTAACTTTTAACAAGGCACACCTGTTAATTGAAATGCATTCCAGGTGACTACCTCATGAAGCTGGTTGAGAGAATGCCAAGAGTGTGCAAAGCTGTCATCAAGGCAAAGGGTGGCTATTTGAAGAATATCAAATATCAAATATATTTTGATTTGTTTAACCCTTTTTTGGTTACTACATGATTCCATATGTGTTATTTCATAGTTTTGATGTCTTCACTATTATTCTACAATGTAAAAATAAAGAAAAACCCATGAATGAGTAGGTGTATCCAAACTTTTGACTGGTAGTGTACATACATACATTCTGAAAGTATTAAGACCCCTTTTTCCACATTTTGTTACGTTACACCCTTATTCAACAACAACAAAAATCCTCATCAATCTACACACAATACTCCATAATGACAAAGTGAAAACAGGTTTTTAGAAATGTTTGCTAATGTATTAAAAATTAAAATAAATACCTTATTTACATAAGTATTAACACCCTTTGCTATGAGACTCGAAAATGAGCCCAGGTGCATCCTGTTTTCATTGATTTATCCTTGACATGTTTCTACAACTTAATTGGAGTCTACCTGTGGTAAAATCAATTGATTTGACATTATTTGGAAAGGCACACACCTGTCTATGTAAGGTCCCACAGTTGACAGTACATGTCCGAGCAAAAACCAAGCCATGAGGTCGAAGAAATTGTCCGTTGAGCTCCGAGACAAGATTGTGTCAAGGCACAAATCTGAGGAAGGGTACCAAAACATTTCTGCAGCATTGAAGGTCCCCAAAAACGCAATGGCCTACTCCATTCTTAAATGGAAGAAGTTTGGAACCACCAAGACTCTTCCTAGAGCTGGCCTCCCGGCCAATCTGAGCAATCGGGCGAGAAGGGCCTTGGTCAAGGAGGTGGCCAAGAACCCGATGGTCACTCTGACAGAGTTCCTCTGTGGAGATGGGAGAACCTTCCAGAAGGACAACAGTCTCTGCAGCACTCCACCAATCAGGCCTTTATGGTAGAGTGGCTTGACGGATGCCACTCCTCAGTAAAAGGCACGGCTGCCCGCTTGGAGTTTTCCAAAAGGCACCTAAAGGACTCAGACCATGAGAAACAAGATTCTCTGGTCTGATGAAACCAAGATTGAACTCTTTGGCCTGAATGCCAAGCGTCGCGTCTGGAGGAAACCTGGCACCATCCCTACGATGAAGCATGGTGGTGGCAGCATCATGCTGTGGGGATGTTTTTCAGCGGCAGGGACTGGGAGATTAGCCAGGATCAAGGGAAAAATGAACTTAGCAAAGTACAGAGATCCTTGATGAAAACCTGTTCCAGAGCGATCAGCACCTCAGACTGGGGCGAAGGTTCACCTTCCAACAGGACAACGACCCTAAGCACACAGCCAAGACAACGCAGGAGTGGCTTCGGGACACGTCTCTGAATGTCCTTGAGTGGCCCAGCCAGAGCCCGGACTTGAACCCGATCGAACATCTCTGGAGAGATCTGAAAATAGCTGTGCAGCGACGCTCCCCATCCAACCTGACAGAGTTTGAGAGGATCTGCAGAGAAGAATGGGAGAAACTCTCCAAATACAAGTGTGCCAAGCTTGAGACGACATACCCAAGAAGACTCGAGTCTGTAATCGCTGCCAAAGGTGCATCAACGAAGTACTGAGGAAAGGGTCTGAAGACTATAAATGTGTGTATTTTTTTGTATACATTTGTAAAAAAAAAATTAAAAACCTGTTTTTGCTTTGTCATTCATTAAGGGGTATTGTGTGTATATTGATGAGAAGAGAAAACAATTTAATCAATTTTAGAATAAGGATGTAACGTAACAAAATATGGAAAAAGTCAAGGGGTATGAATACTTTCCGAATGCACTGTATATTAATTTACTTCTCCCTAATGCCTTTTATGAAGGTTTTACATTGCATTTTTGTGCATTTTGCACTTGAAGTCAATTTTTTAAAAACGGAACAAATAGTGATATTGAAGTCACACTTTCCCAGCGCATTATTCACTTGGCAAATTTCCCAAGTTGTTTGAAATAATTGAACCAATTAGTTAAGCAATTTGGCTCATTTTCAAAAAGCTGCATTGGTTTTATTGAAATCTTGTTAGCATGAGCTCACAAGAATTGGATCACAAATGCATGTGCAATGCTTTCATCAGGCAATCTGAGATTTTAATGAATTTTGTAATGGACAGCTTCATAAAGAATCAAACAATGTTTATACTGTCATGATATAGAGCTATATGAAAGACATTGCCATGCCTTTATCTGAATGTGATACAGTATACTATATCTAAGACAACATTCACTATAGATACAGTCTTGAGGGTATATGGTGTTATTTTACTTAATAGAACCATAAGAAATAATATATTTTCAGAATTACTGGACAGTAAAATAATAAATAAAACCCATTCTGTGATAAAAGCCTTTTCCTAGTCTATACAGTGATTAGGTTGCCATAGTTCCTATCTAACTAATTCCACAGAGTGTGCAGAGGAGAATGAGACTGTCATGAAGTCCAATAGGTTCTGATTAGCAGGCCCAGAGTGTCACGTTGAATGTTCGTCGGGTTAAGATTAAGTACTATGTGAAAATGGCAAGTCACCATATTTAGATTTCATAGTCAAGCCGAACACTGACAGGAAATGTGGTATTTTCAATTTAAATAATTGTAATGTAGAATGTAATTCAACCTAATGTTCTGTGAAAGCCTCCGTTCGGCGTCTCGTGTCAATACACCCCTTTTAGATTATACAATAAGACGGCCATCTCAGTGGCGTTGCTGAGCATTGTCAAGAGGTTGAAAATGGCACTAATCCTGATAACTGTGTGCTCTTGATGCTCTCGTCTCCCACCCTGTAGCCCTGAGGCAAAGCTCTATTACAGATACACATCCTTCTACTGCAGACAGGCATGCGTCATCCATTCATCTCCCATCACTGTTCCTTTTGGTCACACTTAAATGATTCAGACGGGCAGAGACTGTGTAATGATTCATGCGTTGCTCTACAGAGCGAGGCAGATCTGGGCTACCCCGGAGGCAAGGCCCGAATCATCCACAAGGACTCGGACATCATTACCGCCTTCGCCATCAACAAGGTACTTCACATCTTCCACACAGGAGAGGTCTGTTCCACACATGTTCTACACAGGAGAGGTCTAGCCTACACAGGAGAGGTCTGCGTCGTTAGGTTAGACTAACAAGGTGTCACATTGGCTCTACGGGCTGTCTGAAGTGGAAGGACTGATTTTGGATTTCTCTCCTCTATTCTCTCTTGCTCGTGTCTTTTCTCTACTCTCTCTCTCTGTCCCAGGCTAATCGTAACTGCTTAGTCATGGCCTCCACTCATGACATTCAGGAGCTGGACGTGTCCTCCATCTTGGCCACTCAGATTCTGACGTGGATCGACGACGATACCGAGGCAGAGGCCAAAGGGTGAGCCCGGGTCAATCTCAATAACCCAAACAAGAAAATTAAGTGTCTTTCTACTTTGAAAGACATTCAAGAGTTGCGTAGGAACTGCGAGTGTCCCTCTGTGTCCCTACCTGTGATTTTGCAGCTGAATACCTCCCATTGACCATATCAGATTGATTACAATCTATGGTAATAAGTAAAAGCCTCAAGCCTCAGCTCTTGGATGCAGTCAGCACTGTGTTAATACTGTTCTCTGTCTGGGAGTGTCCTATCAAACTCTGCTCGCGCTCTCTCTTTCTCTCTCTTTCTCTCTCTCTCTCTCTCTCTCTCTCTCTCTCTCTCTCTCTGTCTCTCTCATTAGTGATGACTTCCTGGTGATCCAGGCCCGGGACGACTTCAACACCCTCCACGGCACCACCCCCTACACCCACAGCAGCCCAGGGACACCGATCAACATGCCCTGGCTCGGGGGCCTGCAGACGGGGAGAGGCGCTGCCGTGGTGAGGCCGATGGAGCTTTTACTGTGGTTCCTTTTTTTTTTTTTGTCACTGATATTGAGCACAATGCAGTACATTCTACTAGTATGTCTTGTAGAGTTCCAGTCTAAGTATAATGTCCTTTTATTTCCTGGTGCAGCTCATCAAAAGGAACATCAACAACGTGAGAAGGATGACCTCACACCCAACCTTGCCTTACTGTAAGTAGATGTGACTTCTTTCCTGCTTGTATACAATGACTAAAACCTCCACACGTGCTAGCTATATATGTGTACCATGTCTATTCTGTTTAGTCCTTGACGTTCTCATCCTTCCCTTGTGCTAATATTCCAAGAATATACCGAGTCCTTTTATTGTCAATACTACATTGGGATTAGAGAATCCTTTGATTACCCAGCCCCTCCCTCCCTCCCTCCCTCCCTCCCTCAGACTTAACAGGAGCGCAGGACGGAAGTGTCCGGATGTTTGAGTGGGGCCACTCTCAGCAGATCATCTGCTTCCGAAGTCCAGGCAATTCCAGAGTCACACGGATACGATTCAACCACCAAGGAAACAAGGTGACTACACTTTCCCTCCCCAATTGCACCCTATTCCCAATTTCCCTTTATTGCACACTACTTTTGACCAGGGCCCATAGGAATCTGGTCCAAAGTAGTGCACTATACAGGGAATAGGGTGCCATTTGGAACGCATGCTTAGTTTACATTTAATTATTCACTGAGCAACGTTTTCCCCGCCCAACTCAGTCCCTCAACAACATGGCCACTGCTGAGGAATGATATAGTTGCTGGACATACTTTTACTCCCTATTTGAATGATCTTCCTAATATGATCATCTCTTGGCTGTGTTGTCCAGTTTGGTATGGTTGACGCTGATGGAGCTCTACGTCTGTGGCAGACCAATACGACTGGGAACACCCCTAAACCCTACCTGGTAGGAACTAAGCACCCGTCTGTCTCTGTCTGTCTGTCGGTCTGTCTCCGTTTACATGTAACTGCCAAAATAAAGGAAACACGTGAGTAAATGAGTGATACAACATATATTGAAAGCAGGTGCTTCAACACAGGTGTGGTTCCTTAGTTAATTAAGCAATTAACATCCCATCATGCTTAGGGTCATGTATAAAAATGCTGGGCAGGCCATTGTTTTGGCTACCATGGCTATGCTCCCATAGGATGACAATGACTCCAGCCACAGGGCACGAATGGTCACTGAATGGTTTCATGAGCATGAACATAAACGATATGCCATGGCCGTCTCAGCCACCAGATCTCAACCCAATTGAACTCTTATGGGAGACTGTGGAGCAGCGCCTGAGACAGCGTTTTCCACCATCAACAACAAAACCCCAAATGATGGAATTTCTCGTGGAAGAATGGTGTCGCATCCCTCTAATAGAGTTCCAGACTTTTGTCGAATCTATTCCAAGGTGTATTGCAGCTGTTCTGCATGAATGGCCCAACCTATTGGAAACATGAGTGATTCACTTATATTTGGAAGTACGGTACCTCAACTCGCAGGTGTTGTTTTGTTGATTGTGATTACTTCCCCACAGACATTGCAGGCCATAAAATGCGGCACGACTTGTTTTGGGCTATCCTCCTATAGCCCCAAGGGCTGTCCAGACACAGGGCACGAGCCAATGGTTCAGAGCACGCTACGAGCCACCGTCTCAGCACCATGACTCTACCATGCTTTGAGCTGTTGAGAGCGCTAGACCATGCTTCAAGCCATCTAACAACAAACCCAAGATGTGAGATTTCTGTGTACAGAGGCATGTCGATCCCTGCTACATAGAGTTTAGCCAGACTCTGAGCCATGCTTCTGAGCCATGCTCTGAGCCATGCTACAGAGCCATGCTTCTGAGCCATGCTACAGAGCCATGCTTCTGAGCCATGCTTCTGAGCCATGCTACAGAGCCATGCTTCTGAGCCATGCTACAGAGCCATGCTTCTGAGCCATGCTACAGAGCCATGCTACAGAGCCATGCTTCAGAGCCATGCTTCTGAGCCATGCTTCAGAGCCATGCTTCAGAGCCATGCTACAGAGCCATGCTACAGAGCCATGCTTCTGAGCCATGCTTCTGAGCCATGCTTCTGAGCCATGCTACAGAGCCATGCTACAGAGCCATGCTACAGAGCCATGCTTCAGAGCCATGCTTCAGAGCCATGCTACAGAGCCATGCTTCTGAGCCTTGCTACAGAGCCATGCTTCTGAGCCATGCTTCTGAGCCATGCTACAGAGCCATGCTTCTGAGCCATGCTACTGAGCCATGCTACAGAGCCATGCTTCAGAGCCATGCTTCAGAGCCATGCTTCAGAGCCATGCTTCAGAGCCATGCTACAGAGCCATGCTTCTGAGCCTTGCTACAGAGCCACGCTACAGAGCCTTGCTACAGAGCACATGTGAACAAACCTCTCAATCTCTCCACTGGAGGGACCAAATGGGCTGATTCGCTGTAAGTAATGCTTTGTTTTGTCTCCATAGGAATGTGTGTCTTTGGGATACATTGGTGAATCCAATGAACAGCCTAGTGCACGGTGAGTCCTCCAACACTGGCTCGTTCTAATGAAGCCAGTACATCATCAACAATACTACAGACAGTAGCCAAGTTAGCTACATTGAAGTTGTGTTCCTAAAAGAGACTATTTTGCCCCGCTCTCCTCTCTCTGCAGCCTTTAGTTGTCATGAGTCGGGGGCCACAGTGCTTTCGCTGGCCCCCAGGAAGCAGCTGCTGATCACAGGTGGCAGGAAGGGCTGGATCAGCGTGCTGGAGCTCGCCCACAGGCACCAGCGCCAGAGCTTCCAGGCCCACGACTCCCCCGTCAAGGCCCTGGTCGTGGACCCCACCGAGGGCAGCTTCATCAGCGGCTCCGCTGAGGGCAACATCAAGGTGCCCTCCCTCCCTCACTAGCCACATAGTCACCTCACGTACTCACCTCACTGCACCTGTTGCTTGTTTTTTCTTTCCTTTTTTTGAATGGCATCAGGTGACTGGGTTAGGATGGGTCAAAAACAAGGGATGGGGGTGGATTTATGGGTGGAATTCAAGGGGCTGATCAAGCGGAGTAGGGTGGTTGGAGAAGCCTATTGCAAAATTAGACCAAGGTTATTATTTTCTCAGGATTACAGAAGATATTTGGTCCCCCCCCCCCCCCCCCTGTATAGCATGTTAAAGATTTAAATCCATAAATCGTATGCAAGTCTAACAAAAAGGTTTCCTGTGTCTGTACTATAGCTCCACCCCTGACTGTGCCGTGTTGTTGCAGGTGTGGAGCCTGTCCACGCAGTGCTTACTGCATCATTTCCCCAACGAGCACGCTCGCCAGTCCTTGTTCCGGAATCTGGGCACGGGCGTGATGCAGATCGAGGTGGGCCCGGCCAACCACATCTTCTCGTGCGGCGCCGACGGTACCATGAAAATGAGGATCCTCCCCGACCGCTTCAGCGTCAACAATGGCAACCTGAAGAACGACGTCAAGTTCATAATTTAGCTAACTCGGCACAGCCTCAGCTTGTGGTTGACGTGACCAAGACTGCCTTTGTTTGCACAAGTTACTGCAAGATGAGTGTGGAGGGACTGTCTGTGCACAAGGAGAGGACGACGCTCCAAAACGGACGCAAGTTTCATCCTCTCACCAGTGATCACTTTTCTAAGGCAATCATCATATTGGAATCTTACACGTCAAGATGAGTTGTGTAGAGATGATTATCTGGATGCAGTGTATGATTTGGGATGTCAGGTGTTCCTACAGTGCTCTGCATCCATTTTAAGACTGTAAAATACTGACATCCCTGCTTGCTTGAGGCGTTAAGGCCAGTTGATATAAAGCACATTATCGAATCATAAGGAATTCGCTTTGTTTGCCCGTAAATAAGGTAAAATGATATGCAGTGCATAGTTTAGTTTAGATGTCAGAGAGTAAGCCAAGCCTAAAGTAATTAGAATATTCTGTTTAGTATTGTTGTGGTCTAGATTCAAACAGTGGTGATGTGTCCTTGTAAATCTTCAACCAACACTGGTACTGCACCCATTTCCCCTAGGTGGTGTTGAGTGGTATTTAGTTTCGGTTGGACCTTTGTGTGCAATTGACCAATAAAGTGTTCTTAATCTTGTTGAGTTGCACACGTAGCTTTAGTCAGGACCCACTTATCAGGGGACACCAATATAATCGGCCTGTTCGTCCCTTGATCATTTTAGACAGAATGCTTTAACTATCAAGAAGCTTATATAGTAACACCATGTAAGCACCATTTTCTTTAGCCAATCGGAGAAAGAGAACACTAATTTGAATGGACGTCTTATTGAGTATGAAATTGTTTTATTCCAACACAGCACTTTCTTCTTCCCAATCCCCAAAACGACCACAGATGCATCGATAAGTCACTTAAATTGTGGATTTACTTTTGCTAAGATGAAATTGACTTTACAAACTGGTTTAACTAGCTTGTCATTTAGGCTGAATGAAGGCAAGCAGCTCAATTCTGATATGTTTTCCACTAATTGGTCTTTTGACCAATCATATTAGATATTTTCACCGATTTTTTTTTTTTTTTTAGAGCTTATATGATTGGTCAAAATACCAATTAGTGAAATAAAGATCTGAATTTGGCTGCCTTAATGTGGTACTACTTGTGTGGTTTGACGAATAACAAGAACCTTTTTTTTTGTGCTTTTTTTATTTTTACAAAATGCATTGCCTTCAGGAAATGACCTTATAGATTGAATCTAGGCCCATGTATATTGTGATATCTATTATTACCAATAAGCGGGTGAAGTTGACATATACTGTCACATAGCCACTTTGATATAAGGAGCAATGCATAGCTAACCATCATGTTTCGCTGCTGTAGACAAATATATATTTACTTTAAATTTGGGGTATAAGCTAGAGAAAAGCTTTCTTGATAAAATAGTTTAATTGCATTCTGTAAATGGAACAAACTACACCTCACAACTTAATTACTGTGATAAAATGTTTTAGCAAGTCCTGCTTTATGAAGACAATTCTGTGAAATACCAGTAATATTTATGAATTGTGTTCATATACAATACTGCATGATCGGGTTATGTTTAATTTCCTCCAGGGGCATACAGATTCTTCTTGTTATGATATAAACCAAGTACAATGTGATTTATTATGGTTAGAGCGTTGGGCCAGTAACCGAAAGGTCGCTGGTTCTAATCCCAGAGGTGACAAATCTGTGTGCCCTTGAACAAGGCACTTAACCCTAATTTGCTCCAAGGGTGCAGTAAAACTATGGCTGACCCTGTAAAACACATTTCACTGCACCTATTACACAGGAATACATCATGGTATACTCATTGCAAAGTAATTGAATTAAATATTAACTGTTTTATCAAAGATGAGTAGGGGATATTTGTAAATTTCATGATAGCAATATGCTATAAAAACATCTAGGTTTATGGCTATCGCAGACAAGGGATGAATGAGTATTTAATTAGAACCATCATATACAATAGGGGTTCCATGCATTTCTTCCTTTACACTGTGAATATGCTCAGAAATCGAATTTTATGAATGTTGATTATGTCAGATTTACAAGTAAAGTGTAATATAATAAATCAACTTAATGTAACACTTTCGTCTGTTTGGAACCTAGAATAAAAATGGGGGGGGATGTTTTATCCCCATTAAAACCACAAAGTGCATAACATTTATTAGAAATGAATAGTGAACCATGTTGCACCAAGCCAACACTATGGCTACATTTTTATTACATGTAACTTGTTAATGTAGATTTCATTTGGGTTGCATTGGAGTCAGGTCACTTGAAGCAACAAAAAAACATTGATACCAAATACAACCTATACAAGGCCTAATCTGGGAGCAGAAATATGTAGTGCCATCTGCTAGCCTTTGTTCTTCATTGCCCTGAAAACAGCGACCGTCACTATAGTACTGTTCATGTCCAGTTTATCCCACATACTGCATAGCCCAGTGTTCTGCATCAGTCATTTATTGGCCCCATGCACCCCAGCTTGACATTTAAGAGAAAATCCTACTGCATCTGGCATTGCACATAGGCGCTATCCTCTCATCATAAAACATTTATCACCGTCAAAGTACAAATCATTCTGAATCATGATCGCAGCCCCAGGTTACAAACTCATCTATCATCAGTGTAATGTATCCATACATTAGTTGAAATAGTATTAAATCAGACCAAAAAAAAAACCAACAAAGTATTCACATGCAGTGAAATCCAGGTCAGATTAGTGCATTAGCGGAGATGCATACAGATGGCGGTCCCCATGCATTTAGCTAAATTCGCCGTATTATACATGATCCCAATTTTATCTTCGAGATGCCTGCAATTTGAAAAAAACGAAAAAGTACATTGTGCTGATTTATTGACACATTGTAAAACTCAGTGGATCGTGTTAAAAACAATGACGTCATGTGAATTCTGCCATCTTTATGCACGTTCGCAATTAATGCCGTTACCTCAGTGAAGCAAACAAGGAAGATATGATAACTGAGTGGTTCTCCTGTGGCTCAGCCTCACAGTTTAGCATAGTCTTTAAGGATCACCTCCAGCTTCTGGCTCAGCATGATGTTCCCTCGTACTTTCAGCTTGCCTGCAAAGAACGCCTGGAAGAACAAATAAACGCTCAGGTCACTTTCAGTCCGGGAAACATCTCTGCTCTTACAACCCAATATTATGTTCATGAGCTAAGGGCTTCCTGGATCTACACTGAACACATAAAATGTAACAATTTTAAAGATTTTACTGAGTTACAGTTCATAAGGAAATCAGTCAAATGAAATAAATAAATTAGGCCCTAATCTATGGATTTCACAAGACTGGGAATACAGATATGCATCGGTTGGTCACACACACTACCATTCAAAAGTTTGGACACCTACTCATTCAAGGGCTTTTCTTTATTTTTACATTGTAGAATAATAGTGAAGACAGCAAAACTATGAAATCATGTAGCAACCAAAAAGTTAAATCAAAATATATATTTGATATTCTTCAAATAGCCACCCTTTGCCTTGACAGCTTTGCACACTCTTGGCATTATCTCAACCAGCTGCATGAGGTAGTCACCTGGAATTCATTTCAATTAACAGGTGTGCCTTGTTAATTTTATTTGTGGAATTTCTTTCCTTCTTAATGCGTTTGTGCCAATCAGTTGTGTTGTGACAAGGTAGGGGGGTTATACAGAAGATAGCCCTATTTGGTAAAAGACCAAGTCCATATTATGGCAAGAACAGCTCAAATAAGCAAAGAGAAACGACAGTCCATCATTACTTTAAGACATGAAGGTCAGTCAATACGGAACATTAAGAACTTTGAAAGTTTCTTCAAGTGCAGTCGCAAAAACCATCAAGCACTATGATGAAACTGGCTCTCATGAGGACCACCACAGGAATGGAAGACACGAGGGGATGCAGTGGCTGGCGGGTCTGCATACCCACACAGAGCCAACCTTAGCCTTTCGGGGGCCCTAAGTGAAACGTTGTCGAGAAAAACTGCTGATGCACAACCAAATTTCTAAATGTCACCTTGTGTATTCTACTATTCTAACTCACAAACATTAAGTTGAGACCCCGACTGAGTTCCCCCCCACCCACCAATTGTATTGTTTTTATTTTAGGGAAATTGATCCGCGAGCCTACAAAAAGGAGGGCCGCCAGTTGTCCATCCCTGATCTAAATTCACAAAACAATGAAAAGGTGAAATGAGGCTCATTCCTGGCAAGAAAACCCACTCTTACTGGGATGTACTTGTAGTTTTAAAAAAGCTTTGAAGTGTGAAGCTGCTACACATTGGCAGTTCTCTCTGCTGACTCATCTTGCAGCTTTCTACAGTATCTTACAGATGTTGCCAGGCATGTAAAGGCTTGGGGAGAAGATGTCAGTACCTTCTGAGGGTTGAGCTTTCCCTTCACTACTTCCATGAAGTCATCATCAGATACAGTGAAGGTCACGTCAGTTTTGCCACTGTATGGGCCCTTATGCAAGGCTCCAGCTCCAGTTTTCAAATCAATGGCTGGGGGGGGGGGGGAGCGAGAGAGCATAATGAAATGATAGTTGAGGCATTCACACTATGGGCCAGTTTCCCAGATCCAGATTAAGTTTAGTGCTGGACTAAAGCGCACAATGGTAATTCTCCATCGAGAATAATTTTTTGTCCATGACTTGGCTTAATCATGGCCCGGGAAGCTGGTCCCATAGGTTCAACATGTCTGCATTGATTGACAGGAGGACTTGGAAAGCAACCAGGGTTCACTCACTCCACTGGGCTGCAGTGTTTCCCCCTTTGGTGATCTCCCAGCCAAACACTGCATTGACCTTCTTCACCATCTCAGCCCCCAGGTCCTTAATGCGACGGCCGATCTCAGCAAACACCAACTCACTCTTGAGTCCCCCTGACTAGAAGGGTTCAAAACAGGAAAAACTAGTGATCGGTCATTTCCAACTTTGGGATTTTGCATCACACATGAATACAGTCTGACTGACATACCTCCAGAAGAACTTGTGGGGAGCCATCTGTAGCAGCATACAAGTCCACATAGGCACCTGACAGAACCACAGCACCGCTCTCTTTGACCTGAGGAATAAGACACGAGCCAATCAATCAATTTAACAACATGGATATTCTGTATCGCATGGAAAGAGGTTACTGGACTTAATTTGGGTAATTGTTTCATTCTTAATGGATCACTATTAACCTCTCGCACAAACATGATAAAACTGCTCACTTTGCACTGAATGTGAATTCGGTTTCCTTCTTTCCACATCTCGGTCTGTAGGGACTGGCCTGGTAGCACTGGCTTTACAAAGCGAACCTGAGGGATACGGTAGTGACCAGGAAAAAGGTAGTTTAAAAACATAGCGGATTACATTTTCAATTCTAGTCATTTAGCAAACACTCTTTTCCCAGAGTGACTTGCAGTTAATGCATCCATCTTAAGGTAGCTAGGTGAGATAACCACATCTCACAGTCATAAGTCAAACCTTCCTCGATAAAGCAGCTAACAGCAAAGTCAGTGACAGTGAAGAGACAAGTGTAAGTGCAACGGTAGGGTGTTCTGATTTCTCTTGATTAAGTGCCAAGCTCCTATAATTTGAATAACTCCAAAAAGATAGGGAACTGTTACCATAGAAATAGAATGGGCTTGGAACCTCTAACCCTGGCAATTTGACTGGTAAACTCATGGGTACACTCACAATGGCTGCCTGGTATTGTGATGCAATAATTTCCATGGTAATGTAGAATGTTAACTGATGTGGCTCATGCAATTTAATATATTTTTTGAAATGTCAGTTGAGCAGACAACAAATCACAGCACAGATTGATGGGTTCACTTCCCGCTTTGCTCCTATGGGTACACTTGCAATGGCCGCCAGTTCAACCATTATGCCATCATTGACTTGAATGGGACGGCCGTTCTATTCATTCGATTTCTATGACTGTTCCTGCCAAGATCATGCTTCACCTTGATGGACTTGAATCTGGAGGCATCGTTGTTGGCATACTGCTTCAGCACATGTCTAGCCGCGAAGCCAAAGGAGCACAGGCCATGCAGAATAGGGGATTTGAATCCTGAAATGGAGAGAAGATGTCTTTATGATGTACTACAATATCATGCACAACACTGTGCAGTGTTTATTAATACAGAAGACTCAAAGCCTGGTGCCAGATCTGTTTGTGCAATCATGTCAACTCCTTGGCACTCTTCTTTTGGCATGACAAGGAGTTGACATGATAGCCAAGATCTGGCACCAGGCTAGAAGACTCACCTCCCATTGCTGCAAAGCTGGGGTCTATGTGGAGGGGGTTCCAGTCCCCACTCAGACGATACAAGGCAGCCTGAAAGCGTGGAATCAATGTCATGTCACTCGTTTTAGAAATATCCTGAGATTTGGCCTCATGTAGAGCCATTACGGATACTTGTTTGATGCGTCATCTTTTGAAAGAATCCTAACAGTAGGGGCACTCGTAGTAAAAATCTACTCAGTGTATCCCTTCGATGAAAGACCCAATCAGAAATACACACCTGGTCCCTTGTTGTGGTGTCAGTCATCACGGCATCAGGAGCTCTGTTTGGGGGTGCCACTGTGCTCTGAAAGAGTGAGATTAAGTTAGGTTGAAAGAAAATGGTAGGTGTCAACCATTTTGTTCTAGAAAAAGAATGGTACTACTTCTGAAACTTTTGAAAGCATTGGTGGTGTTAGCAGATTACTTGTTACCATTGCTTTATCAGATGTTCTCTTTCCTCCAAAGCCACCAGCCCCCACGATGAACAGAGAGTACTGGTTGTAACACAGCAGCTCTTTACCACTGTACGTGTGGACTGTGGAGAAAGACAATGTTATCTCACAACTGGTCCTCTGTAGCTCAGTTGGTACAGCATGGTGCTTGCCATGCCAGGACAGTGGATCCGACTCCAGGGACAACCCATACTTAAAATGGGCACACATGACTAAATCACTCTGGATAAAAGCGCCTGCTAAATATGTATTTATTTTATCAATAATGAAAAACATTGTTTCTTTTTACATTCCACAGGAGAAAATAAAATATTCTTTCATGTTTTTCTGAAAGAATCTTTAGACTGCATGCCTTTAATTTCCTTGCTTTAATATCAGGTCCATTCCAAATTTTTAGAGTTCCTCCGCTATTTGTTTAATTAATACCACTGAGTAATTTCTTTGCTCATCTCATGCAACCCTGTGGAACATCACTCATATACCCTTAACATTATTATTACACAATTCTCAGGGACAAGGAAGTGTAACAAACTAACCATCCAGCAGAATGACTGCTCCAGATCCTTTGTCTAACACATCTGCGATTGTAGCCTGAGAGGTCAGTTTTCCTGCAAATGCAGACAAATTACTTTAAAAATCACAGGCTTTTGTAAGCAGAAAATGTTGTGCTCAGAGATACTTAGAATCTGTAATGGGCGCACATACCTGAGGTGGGTAATGGTTTGAAAAGCTCCAGATACTGCTCTCCATGCAACAACTGAGAGTGACAATATCAGAACAAAACGGGGAGTAAAATGGTTATGGTTACAAAAGTCTTTGCTCCAAGCAATATAAAATGTTTTAAGCTATCAAAATGCATTATTTACCCACTAAATGAAATGTGTGAGAACAGCAACGGTTGCTTGCCACTTCTGTATGGGATAAGATCTATTTTCTATATAATGCATGTCAACTTTGTAAATTCTACAGTAAATAAAGATGATTCTGATTGTTTCCTGGAGCTTTTACCCTGGTGAAGTCAAAGTTGAGTCCAGGCACGGAGCCTAGCCCTCCGTCCATCATGGCCGCCTGGGAGGGGATGACCCCGAAGGTGGGCAGACAGCTGAAGTCCTCGTGGCCCTCGTACAGGAACTTGAGGTGTTGGTCATCCTTGGTGGACAGGCCCACTCCCAGGGCATACAGGATGCACTGAGTGTGGGAGTAGCTGAAGGTAGACTCCGGAAGCTTCTGTCCCACTGCCTCCAGCTGAAGGCAAGCACAGCTACAGTCAGCACAGTATGAAGTGACGCCAGCCATGCGGTTACTCATCATGCGTCCAAACAGATGTCTTTGAAGACATGGTCTACAGTAGGAGACCACAGAGCATCATTATGGGCCATCTGTCACCAACAGGCATGATGTCACTTCATTCCAGCCTAGTACTGTTGAACTCTACACTCACAGGACTGATCCCAGATGCAGCAGTGGTCATAGCGCTGGTGGGGTTGGGGACGATTCCCTCATCAGTCTCCAGTCTTGACAGCACCTCCACCAATGTGGCCAGGGACTCTGGGGAAAAGAGGGAGATTCATTACAGCCACTCAATAATGCTGTTATCGAACAAAGACGGCAACATGTCCTCTAATAAGGTACAAATGAGGAGCACTACAAAATCATGGTAATGAGGCGCTCCTCTGGAGGCTGCCACCCCCATGCTGCGGCACATCTGAGGGCAAGCCGAGGGAGGAAAGAGAATAATGATGAACACTTGCCATGTTCTCGTGTCTGACCCGAAGGCGCTCCGCACCGCTCAATACTGTACTTTGCTCTTTATTCAAAGACTAGGGGGAATAGCAGTGGTGTAATTGACCTGCCGTGTCATAGCAGCACAAGCCAATGAGTTTGTTCACTGGATTGCTAGCTTGTTTTCTCTTCTCTCAGAGGTTTGAGCCCTGGTGTTCCACCCTTTGTTTACACTGCAGCATACTGTGTAGAACTTGGACCTTCTCCCATGAAATTGGTTGTTACACTGCCTCAACTGTTACAGCACCAAAGGTTGTTACACTGCCTCAACTGTTACAGCACCAAAGGTTGTTACACTGCCTCAACTGTTACAGCACCAAAGGTTGTTACACTGCCTCAACTGTTACAGCACCAAAGGTTGTTACACTGCCTCAACTGTTACAGCACCAAAGGTTGTTACACTGCCTCAACTGTTACAGCACCAAAGGTTGTTACACTGCCTCAACTGTTACAGCACCAAAGGTTGTTACACTTCCTCAACTGTTACAGCACCAAAGGTTGTTACACTTCCTCAACTGTTACAGCACCAAAGGTTGTTACACTGCCTCAACTGTTACAGCACCAAAGGTTGTTACACTGCCTCAACTGTTACAGCACCAAAGGTTGTTACACTGCCTCAACTGTTACAGCACCAAAGGTTGTTACACTGCCTCAACTGTTACAGCACCAAAGAGTTCTAGCCTTTACTGCAGGTGGAATATTATTCCATTGTTTAATTTACATCTACCGTGTCAAACCGTATCTTAGTTTAAATTCAATATATCTGTGTATAAGTCAATTACTATTATCAGTAACATATCTGGCAGAGGCAAAATATACCAGCGTAGGTGTTCGGTCCAAGGTCTGCTTGACTTAATTACCATTGATGTTGGCAGGTTTGGTGGCATTGGTGAAGTCACAGATGTTGTCCCACTGGTCTCGTACGGTCTCAGGAGACATGCCTTGGTTCTTGTTCCTCACAATGCAGCCCTGTGAACGCTCCCAGCGCACTACAAACAAACACATTAGTGGAAAATAAATGGTTGTAGAACATTGAAAATACTCCCAAAAGGAGAATAATTAATTCTACTCACATTTTCCAATCCAGCCAGCGCCAACCTTAACAGGGAGAGAACATTAACAGAATAATCAGTAAGGATTTGGAGTAAGCCGATACGGTTTTAAAGGCATAGTGAACATTTCATACAGTTCTCTTACAAACCTCGAACAGACCTCCATTTTCCTGACACTGGTCATGAGACAGCCACAGAACTAGGGGAGCCACGTATTCTGCTTTCAAGGACTCCAACAGATCTACCACAGAAAACGTGAAGTGGTTAGTTGCTAATAATAACAACATGAAAGGTATACACATTGTGGTGATATACCAGCACTTTGATTCCAAACATTGTAAAAAAAAAAAATCTAAAAATCTGTCTCTTAAACTGTAGGGCAGGGGTGTCAAACTCATTCCACGGAGGGCCCAGTGTCTGCAGGTTTTTGGTTTTTCCTTTTCAATGACGACCTAGACAAACAGGTGCGGGGAGTTCCTTTCTAAATAGCGACCTTAATTCAGCAATCAAGCACAAGGGAGGAGCAAAAACCCGCAGACACTCGGCCCTCCGTGGAATGAGTTTGACACGTGTGCTGTAGGGCAATGAAGGTAACCTGACATATGGACCAATATCACACTGTAGGGCAATTCATGTTACTTGACCTATGGGACAATATCACACAACTTTCATATGGGGTATAAAAGGGCATCACATGGCAGACACCAGAGAAGAAAATCACAGACGCCAGTCTGCCAAGCAGAGGCCTCAAAAGCAATCTACAACCTCATTAAATGCCCAATCCACAAATAAACGTAATTTTCAGAACGCATGACTAATCTCTGTTTACTCAGTTTGTGAGCACAGTCGTTTGACAATAGCAGGTAACTTTAGAAACACATTTACATGATAATATTACATGATGCAACACACAGTGCTTGACTTAGGCAGGAGCTCACTGGAGCAGAGTACCGACACCTCAAATGTTCTACTGCTTGAGCTCCTGTTCCTCTATTATAAACTGGGTGGTTTGAGCCCTGAATACTGATTGGCTGAAAGCCATGGTATATTAGACCTTATACTACAGGTATGACGAAACATTTATTTTTACTGCTATAATTATGTTGGTAACCAGTTTATAATAGCAATAAGGCACCTCTGGGGTTTGTGGTATATTTCCAATATACCACGGCAAAGGCTGTATCCAGGCACTCCTTATGCGCGACGCAACACGAACAGCCCTTATCCGTGGTATATCGGCCATACACCACACCCGAGGTGCCTTATTGCTTTAATAGAATATTAGCGCAAAAGTATCGTAGAGCTCCTGAACCTAAATGTAAACTACACCGGCACCCAGAATGAGTACAGGCACCCATCAGTCAATGTCAAGCACTAGTAACTCATTGCTATATTACACAACAGATCAACTCAAATCGTTGAGTCTTAATAAGATGACCCAGTAATGTGTGCTGCTTAGCCGTTTCTCAGCGGCTCCTCTGACCTGGGGGCATAACAGTCTCTGTGAGGCGCGAGCCTGCGGTTGGGGCGATGGTGTTGCAGTGGATGTTGTACTTTTGGCCCTCGATGGCTAGGGTGTTGGCCAATCCCAGCAGGCCCAGCTTCGCCGCGCTGTAGTTTGCCTGCCCAAAATTGCCGTAGATGCCAGCAGCCGATGACGTCATGATGATCCTGGGCACAGACAGGGCAACCGTGGCGCGTCAGTCTAATTCAGTGCGACGGTGTTGAATTAACGTGCCACGGCTGTTTCAGGCGTGCGGCAATAACAATAGTTAAGAAATCTGTCCACTTCGCTGCCTGTCAAAAGCTAACAACCACCTAAAAACAATTCAAGGACATTTTTAAGACCGTTTTCTCACTTATTCTTGGTGCCGTTGCTGCAATTCAAAGGGTATCATAAGGATGGATTTCTCTACATTAATCTCAGGCAGGGCCCACCTGTGCTAAAACCTGAAACAGATCTACAAAGTCATGCTCTATACTCTGCACCGGTCATTACCTAATTGTTGTTTGGCTTGTGCTTAGTAGGAGAGCTGGATTGATTGAATGTACAAAAGGAATTCTGAATCAAGCCCTAGGCACTGCTTATGATCTGAAATGATTTAATGGCTCAGGGGTTCTCAAACGTTTTGGGCCCGGGGCCCCCTTTTGTGATAGCAAATTCATCAGGGACCCCCTCATAATAAGAACACAACTTCCCACGGGGGGCCAGTATGAAAAATGTATGCACTCACTAATTGTAAGTCGCTCTGGATAAGAGAGTCTGCTAAATGACTAAAATGTCAAACTTGAGTGCGATAAAAATAGCATACAGTGAGTTTTACTATGACTGGCAGTGCATGGCCGGACAAACCAAGTCTCGGGCCCTGAGAAGGAACATTTTAAAGGCCCATCTCTTGGCATCGGTTACTCATTTTTCAAGCAAATTTCCTGCAATTCTATACATTGTCATCGGGCAGAGATTGTTGTTGCAGCTAAAAGTATTGAGTTGAAAAATGTATAATTGGTGTAGTACTGTGGATACCAATATCCCTGTGAGCCTCCCAGGGCCATGTTGCCCAGGGTTAACAACAAATTGTAGATTAATAAATATTACCATCGTATTACACCCTCTAAACTTATTCCACAGATCCCTTGGTCAGAATTAATATTTTATTGTTGGTAATATTCACACAAAAAAATTTATATAGATATATATTTTTTTTGGGGGGGGGGATCTGGCCGCGGACCCCCTGAAGTACCTCTGCGGACCCCACTTTGAGAACCCCTGGAATAGATGACAGCAATACGGTGGTGAGAACTCCAACCAGGCTATCAGAAGACTTACTTATTCCTATCCAATCCACACTGATCTACAGGACTGCAGAGTCTGCTCTAGGCTACGATTTGGGATTCAGCAGAACAGTCAGCTTTACTTCCCTTCACATAGGCAACATGGTGCTGGGTCTGACCCTTGACATCACCTCCCAAACTTCTGGTTCTTCATATGGTTCCAGGCAGCTCTAGTGACCATGAAGGAGCCTCTCAGGTGGACTCTATGGATGAGGTCTGAAATACAGGGCATGAATGTTGCATTACAATAACTATGTGGGGGTTATCCTGTTCTATCAAATTACTACTACTCAGACCTCGACTGTATTTGTCAATCATTTCTCTATGCTAAAGTCCTTGGAAGTAAAGCGCTTCTCCAGCCTGATAGACATTTATCATTCATTCCATATGACTGTTTAATATGCAATATTCTCCTTTCGTGATGATTGGACACAGAATGAATTTATGTGTACTCTGAGAAATAAACTCCTCACCCCAATCCAAGTCACTCGTTCTGCCAAAAGAACGATCCCGAAGTATCCTTGAAATCAATAACAAAACAGGTTGTCCTTCACTTCTTATAGAGAAGAGGTCAATTATATACACTGAGTAAATGGAATAGTTTTCCATGTCACATGTCCATCTGAAATACTACAGTTTAGTTTATTTAGCAAAAAGTGTTCATATCTAATCTGATTAATTGAAAGGCTTGAGATGAATAGCATTCTTACCCAGCATTATTAACAACAATATCTGGAAAAGATAAGCAACAGGTCTGTTTAAATAATCTCGAAATTCTTAAGACAATTGTTATCATCACCAAATCATGTACTGTAAGATGCCAAAACAAACCATTTGCACATCAACATGTAATTATGTGCTCAATCAAGCCTGAACATCTAATCATGCTTGAGGTAACACCATCAGCCATAATATGTGTCAGATTCTTGTTAAATGTGCATAGTGTTATTGGTTTTAAACAAGGAAATCAGTTGTCTGAAAACGCACCTATTCTCCCAAAAGCATCCAGGGCAGTCTGGATCAGTTTCTCACCATCCTCTACAGAATCTGTGGGGCCAAATATGAGCACGTTGACAAACATGAGAATAAACCCCCAAAAGGACTAGCGAAGGTGTGAGGCAAAGAAACTCTCTCGGAAGGAAGAAACCAGTCCACACTCTTCTGGTTGGCCAGGTAGAAAAGGGAAACATCAAACAGTAGACAAATCTGCATGGCTTCTTTTCACAGCTGATATAATGCTCCTAAACAGTTCTGGATGTCTACAGTGGTAGTTTCATTGAGGGCTCAAAACCATAAGGAAATAAAATTGGACACTGGAAGGATGGAATTTGAGACTGTATCAAGGCTGTGATTTTGCCCTGTAACCTGCCCACATAGCCTTGAACCCAACTTCAGATTCCAGGACTCTAGACAGGATTTGGAAGGTTGGCCACGCAAGACTCTTGAACCATGTGCAAAAGTTCAAATAGAGTTAGATAACTTGGTCCAAACTACCCACCGTAGTTAGCCACTGCTTTGCCTCCCTTAGCTTTTATCTCTTCCACGACTTTATCAGCAGCAGCGGAGCTCTTCCCTCCCCCTTTAATATCTCCTCCAAGGTCATTAACTGTGTGCAGAGAAAAGACAAACAGTTAAACCAAGAATCAGGCATTGAACAGCATATTTTCTGGATAGTTTCCAGCTTATTTCATGTATATCTTAAAAATATACATTCGCAATACTTACCAACTACCGAGGCGCCCCTCTCACCAAATGCCAATGCATATTCTCTCCCAAGTCCTATGGAAACAAGTGTAAGTTGATATTTGGTCAAATGAAAAAGTAAAATAATATTAAGTAAGACTTATTGTTGCAGCAAAGTGCCCAGCACAGCACATGTTGCCTTCTTCATGCGTGGATGGGCTGCTGGGTACTTTGTTGCAAGAATGCAGTCTCACATAAAAGGATCTTGAATTCACAAAATGTACCTTGTTCTGTATGGCCGAGCAATATCAGATTCAAGCATAAAGTGTTGCAACAATGACAACAGTGAGCAACTTGTTACAGTAGCTAGCTGGCTACTTTCTGACATAGCACCTAACCTAGCCACCAAGTACTGCTGCTGGTTAGGATAGCTAGTTAGTTAGCCACTGTTGCTACCAGACGAATAAGACTACCCCTGGCCACAATCCCTACAATGGATTCACAACCATGTCAACCACCACTAAAACACAACACCACCTTGCACAGCGTAGCTAGCTAACAAGATGAGCATATCCCAATGAAGAAAGCTAGCTAACGTTAGATAGCTATGTTAGCAAAATTTAGCTGTCATTTACCTCCACCGGCCCCAGTGACAACAACAACTTTCCCGTCGAAAGCCAAAGGCGCAGACATTATTAAATAGTTCTGGATTTTGTCCAGATTCAAAACTGTGCTGGTAGTCTTCGAAGACAGCAGGACAACGACTCGAGTGTTGACAGCTATCAGGATGAACTTTGCCTTACTTCCGCGAGGGGGGCGCTGGGTTATTAAAGGCAACAACAACCAATCACAGAGATCCAAGTACATTCCATTATAAATCCTATATAATTTAACCTGTTAATTATTTCAATGCCCTCTGCTGAAAAGTGCTTATGTCTTGAGCTGAACATTTTGCTATAATGATTCAGTGCTTATTTGATACACAAAGGAACGCAAATGAAAGAGGCATCACATGCTAAATAAAAGAAAGAAAAGCTTGTCAAACAAATGTCACCACTCTCCAAACCAATGTGGATGGCACGGCATTGTCATTGAGTTGTCCAAGCAAAAATCGATTTCTTAAGAAGGTTGTAGCCTAGTTTAATACTAGGCTCAACATAAGTGATGATGACCCTGCTCTGACTCTGGCCAATATGACATGTAGGTGAGTGAGTAGGCAGTAGGTTAGCCTAGGGTCTAGGAGGCTATAGTTTGAAAATGACATTGAGGAGCACTTTTTAATGGGCTCTTCTCAATCATGGGATCGTAGATAAATTCTTGACATACAACTAAGGCTGCAGCACTACCAGCCGAATCACTTTGTTTGTGTGAGGAAGGATTAAGATAATTTAGTGGGCGTTTGAGTGACTCAACTTGGACTGATACATACTTGCAATTGTATGCTTTCAGCATTTTGCATTATTATGAGAAAATCAATGAAAAGAAGTGGGGGCATTTAAATGTCCTTTCATTTTTTCTCAAATTAAAAACCACAGCTTCACAAAGCCAATATCTCTAGTCTGTTCACATAGCCTACCATGTCATAGGGCCTATATGAATTTGTTCAAATGAAATCATTGACCACACCTGTCTCTGATCATATATGGCAAAAATAGCCTAGACACATTTTGGGTCAAGGTTTGAGGATATAGACCAAACCACAGAAGCACCCCACCCCTGCCTCCAAAATTGAACTGGATGTCCAAGTAGGGCTTCAGTGTTATAAATGACTGCTTACCCTGGACAAGCAATCCATGCCTTCTGAAGTGTGTAAGACACATACAGGTCAATGATAATAATAATAATATAAATAATATGCCATTTAGCAGACGCTTTTATCCAAAGCGACTTACAGTCGTGATGATGGATGTGATTGCTTAACGTGGATGTGAGCTTTTCAAGAGTAAATTACCCTACTCATTTGATGTTATTCAAAATAGCATACAGTATTGCCTATTAGTATGGTCGGAAATTGTATTTAATTGCGTCTTAAAGTTAGTCTATAGGCATAATTGCCCAAAAAGCAGAAGTCAAAAGCTTTTCTCATATAAGCATGCAGGTGAGTTGTCCAAACAGAAGAAACTAGCCCTATGGATAATATTCCAGGAACTTGATTAATGTTATTTAATAGTGAGTTTGAAAGCGATCTATTTGTTCCACAGTTAGAAAGTCCATAGAGGCCGTAATATTTACCCCCCAACAAAAGCCTAGTAATGTGCAAAACTTTCCCAAACTGCTTCAATGCAGCCATGCTTTAACCCAGAAACCGGTCCTCGGGACCACCCAGCCGTTCCACAAATGTGATCTATAGGCTATTTCATCTATTCCAACACTAGCACACCTGATTCAACTATAGTTGGCTACTTGAGTCAGGTGTGCTAGTTTTGGAATAGATGAAATAGCCTATGTGAAAGGGCTGGCACGTCATGGGGACCGGTTCGGGAAACACTGTTTCAAACCATAACACGATGGAAATAATGGTGAATAACACGAATGTATCACTTTCCAAATCAAAACATGAAGAGCAGCCCCAGGTGACCTGCTTCTGCGGCGCGTGTGTCATGGCACGCGCAGCCGCGCAGAGACCATTCTCTCCCCTGATGTATAGGCAGGCTATCAGATACCACGGAGGCTTCGATGTAGATGCAATGTGAAGAAGGGATGATTATCACTTGTCATTTATTCAGTAAAGTAACTGCAGTTTATGAATATACTATGTCTATCGTTGTATGTAGCCTATAGAATATACATACATTTTTGAGAGACAATCCATTCAATGGGGATGTCTGGCGCAGCCTATGGACCATTATGATTAGAATATTGGACTTGGATTCTATGTACCATGTTATTATTTCAGTCTGATTAAAATTATGGACCGAATATCTGACTAGGCATCTTGCCACAAGGAAATGTGACATATCAGCATTTGTTTTTTTGACAGAAATGTTGAAAGGTAACGGCGGAATGACCACGAGCGACTGTCTAGAAACACCTCTCCAGCAACATTATTTTGTTTACATTTTTTAAGATATTATTTTTGCTATGCTCTATTGCGCAGGCGTGCTGGCCGGGGTCGCTGTCACCGCGCTTCGCTACATTATTGCGTGATTTAGCCTGTATGGGAGGAAAGTGAAGAAAACAGAACATTAAAATGCATCGGCAAAGTGGTCTTGCGGCAGCGAAAGGATTTACTTGTGATCCTTAAAAATACATTGTACCAACGAAGAATGTCAGGGACATCAAATGCAGAATCTGCTGAAGGAGTAGTCTCCAAAGTTAAAGTCAAAAAGCAGATCAAGACTATCGTGAAGGATTTGGAGACCATCCTGGGAGACTTGAGGGATGTAGCCAAGGAACTCAAAGAGGTTAGTGGGTTTATGTTATGTGGTTTTTATTTGAGATGAACATTGTTTTGATTTAATACAGGTATATTTAGGGTATAGATTTTTTACTGATTGGGAAAAAGATTGAACTATAATAAACATCTGAAGGCTCAGATAGAATTAAGTCCATGGCCTATTCATTGGCCTTTCGTATGTGACCAAATATCTTATCAGGTGAACATGAAAGACATTTAGGACACGTTGTATGTGTGGAGGATGACAACGCAGCTGCGCCTTAGTGCGTACACTAGGCTTTGATAATTTAAGTGCAAGAATTAATCATGATTAATCACGTGTAGTTCACCGGTATGGTTTTGCATTGCATTTCATCATCTAAATGCAGTCTAGCCTACTGTTTTTATGATAATGGTCTCCTGTCAAATTATACAGCAACTCTCCTCTCGATAGGCACCTTGTTACAGTATCAGGATTGTGTCAGTGCTGTCATTGTGTCCAAGTGATATACAATTATTAGGAATAGCAATTTTAGTGCATTCATTCATTTATCTCATACTATATTTGTTTTCTGTTGATTTCACACATTGATCATTGTGGTCTTCCATCGTCCCTATAATAACCCGCACTCTAACCTGCTTTGACGCGGGGATGTAGCCTACCTAGATGTTTGTACGAATGGAGCTATCCGGCCTGCTGGTGCTGAAATACTCGCCCTTACACGACAGGTTGTCACTTTAGATGAAACCTACACTGTTCTTCTTACATTATGGATGGAATGGATACATGGCACACGTTTCCTCTGAAATAATGCTGCTCTTTCAACATTTTCAACAAGTATTTGAATTAAACACAATGTTATAGCGGCGTCAATATTCTATTCATGGAAGTGTACACAATCTGTTAAGCTAACAGCACTACTAAAACAACCCACCTCGGGGATTGTCAGTTCATTGTCAAAGCCAATGTTTCAGTAAATCCCATTTAGATGCAGTATTTATCTAGTGCAACTCACACACATGAATACTGGATTCAAGCCTACGTTTAAGGGGAGCTGAACCCAGATGCTTGGCACAGAGAGAACCATCATGCCCCGCAGCATGTGGCAATGGATACAGTGAATCTCTTTTGTGTCCCACTACCTTATCAATTTAAGACTATGCATGGAGATTTCACTCTACATGAGCTTTTCGCCCAACATGGACATGCTGATATTACTTCACTAGCTTCAATTACTTCAAAATATAATGACTTTTAAAACAGTATACTATGTGGATACTGTTCATAGAGATGGTTTGGCAAAGTATTGGCTACCACTGAAATGTGAAATGATAGGCAACTTATCCCATAGGTCTTAATTAGTAAGTATTGTGTCCGTAACAGATTACAAAATAACAAGTGATTTCAGACTATCTCCCTAATAGTGTTGAACATTGTGTATTTTTATACATGCATATACATATACAGTAATCAAGGTTTATTTCTACTCAAAACTAGTAAACATACCTAAGGGAAAATGTAGTCATTTTCTACAAAGAGACGTCTTTGCAATTTTCACTGCCTGTAGGTATATTCTTATCACCTTAACCATGAATGTATGGGGGCGCCGAGTATGTGCTTTCTACAATTTCAATTTCATCTTAATATGTCCACTACGTGTAAGTGCATACACACAGAATTAATTCTTATATAAACTGATCATGTGTGTTATCAAGTTAGTATTGCTATAGCCAGAGGGTCTTGCTTTTGATTTAGAGACTTAATACAGTTTGGTGTGTGTTCTTTTCATTGTACTATTATGGGTAGTTTCTAGTTTACCCTTACCTTATAAATACATCTAGCAAATGATCAATTAATCAAACACAACCTGCAATGAATCAGAGAATACAGTGTAATATTGTTGCGTTGCAAGCGAATCTGGCTTGAGAGGACCATATGTCTACAGTTTTATAATAATGCATTAGTTTAAAGGTCCAATTCAGCCATTTTTATCTCCATATCAAATCATGTCTGGTAACAATTAAGTACCTTACTGTGACTGTTTTCAACTAAAATTGTCAAAAATAAGCAAAAGTAGCTTCTTAGCAAAGAGCAATATCTCAAGCAAGAATTTAGCTGGGACTGTCTGCGAGTGGTCTGAGCGGGGAGGGGAAACTGAAGACTAGCTGTTATTGGCAGAGGGTTGTAACTCTCTTATTGGTCTATTAACTAATTAACCACCTGGTGATGTCACCAGGCAGGCCAAAACTCCATCCCACCAAAACAGGCTGAAATTTCAGGCAAACTTTTCAAACAGCTCTTACACTAAAAATATACAGTATACACAGTGCCTTCAGAAAGTATTTCCATTTACCCCCGATACCCCATCATGACAAAGTGAAAACATGTTTTTAGACATTTTTGCAAATTTATTGAAAATGAAATACAAAAATATCTAATTTACATAAGTATACATGTTAGAATCACCTTTGGCACCGATTACAGCTGGGAGTCCTTCTGGGTACGTTTTTAAGAGCTTTGCACACCTGGATTGCACAATATTTTTTATTCTTCAAGCTCTATCAAGTTGCTAAACAGCCATTTTCAAGTCTTGCCATAGATTTTCAAGCCGTTTTAAGTCAAAACTGTAACTAGGCCACTCAGGAACATTCAATGTCGTCTTGGTAAGCAACTCCATTGTATATTTGGCCTTGTGTTTTAGGTTATTGTCCTGCTGAAAGGTGAATTTGTCTCTCGGTGTCTATTGGAAAGCAGACTGAAGCAAGTTTTCCTCTAGGATTCTGCCTGTGCTTCGCTCTATTCCGTTTCTTTTTATCCTAAAAAAACTCCCTAGTCCTTGCCGATGGCAAGCATTCCCATAACCTGATGCAGCCACCACCATGCTTGAAAATATGAGGAGTGGTACTCAGTGATGTGTTATGTTGGATTTGCCCCAAATATAACGCTTTGCACGCGCCATGCTCTACCGTGTAGCTCAGTTGGTGGAGCATGGCGCTTGCAACGCCAGGGTTATGGGTTCGATTCCTACGGGGAGCCAGTATGAAAAAAAATAAAAAAAATAAAGTATGCACTCACTGTAAGTCGCTCTGGATAAGAGCGTCTGCTAAATGACTAAAATGTAAATGTATTCAGGACATAAAGTTCATTTCTTTGCCACATTTTTTGCAGTTTTACTTTAGTGCCTTATTGCAAACAGGATCCATGTTTTGGAATGATTTTTTTCTATAGAGGCTTCCTTCTTTTCACTCTGTCATTTCGGTTAGTATTGTGGAGTAAATACAATGTTGTTGATCCATCCTCAGTTTTCTCCAATCACAGCCATTAAACTCTGTAACTATTTTAAAGTCACCATTGGCCTCATAGTGAAATCTCTGAGCGGTTTCCTTCCTCACCGGGTGCTGAGTTAGGAAGGATGCCTGTTTCTTTGTAGTAACTGAGGGGTATTGATAAACCATCCAAAGTGTAATTAATAACTTCACCATGCTCAAAGGGATGTTCAATGTCTGCTTTAAGATTTTTACCCATCTACCAATAGGTGGCCTTCTTTGCGAGGCATTGGGAAAACCTCCCTGGTCTCTGGTTGAATCTGTGTTTGTAATTCACTGCTAGACTGAGGGACCTTATAATTGTATATGTGGGCTACAAAGATGAGGTAGTCATTCAAAAATCATGTTAAACACTATTATTGTGCACAGAGTGAGTCCATTCAACTTATTATGTGACTTGTTAAGCAAATGTTTACTCCTGATTGATTCAAAACATTTCAGCTTTTCATATTTAATTAATTTGTAAACATTTCTAAAAACATAATTCCACTTTAACATTATGGGGTATTGTGTTTAGGCCAGTGACACAAAATCTCAATTTAATACATTTAAAATTCAGGCTGTAACACGACAAAATATGGAAAAAGTAAAGGGGTGTGAATACTTTCTGAAGGCACTGTAAAACAAGTTTTTGAATGCAGTTGGCCTTTAAAAACGCCCTAGAGTCGATGTCCACGCCCCCGCAGAAATCGAATTAGTGTAATAAAAAAATCCCCATCCCGATCTGTTTAAGCTAGAGATATCTTCTTTTTTTTTTGCAAGGGCTGCGTCTGATTCCACCGTATCCACCAATGGCTGCCTTCCGCAACTGCGGTGGTAGGTAGCCGAGCTACAGCAGTGATTGTCAGACCAGGAGACATCCCGAAAATTGGTCTTCTCACAAACATTTCAGTAGTAGCATCCAAACAGTTTTGGCTACACATTAATATGCCTCTATGGAAAGGTGAGACTCTCACGAACACATACATGTCGGTTGTTTTGCTGACAGGTGTATAAAATCGAGCACACAGCCATGCAATCTCCATAGACAAACACCGGCAGTAGAATGGCCTTACTGAAGAGCTCAGTGACTTTTAACGTGGCACCGTCATAGGATGCCACCTTTCCAACAAGTCAGTTCATCAAATTCCTGCCCTGCTAGAGCTGCCCCGGTCAACTGTAAGTGCTGTTATTGTGAAGTGGAAACGTCTAGGAGCAACAAAGGCTCAGCCGTGAAGTGGTAGGCCAGACAAGCTCACAGAACGGGACCGCCGAGTGCTGGAGCGCGTAAAAATTGTCGGTCCTCAGTTGTAACACTCACTACCGAGTTCCAAATTGCCTCTGAAAGCAACATCAGCTGTTAGCCGGGAGCTTAATGAAATGGGTTTCCATGGCCGGGCAGCCACACACAAGCCTAAAATCAGCATGCGCAATGCCAAGCGTCGGCTGGAGTGGTGTAAAGCTTGCCGCCATTGGACTCTGGAGCAATAGAAACGCGCAGTCCGACAGACAAATCTAGGTTTGGCAGATGCCAGGAGAACGCTACATGCCCCAATGCATAGTACCAACTGTAAAGTTTGGTGGAGGAGGAATAATTATCTGGGGCTGTTTTTAATGGTTTGGGCTAGGCCCCTTAGTTCCAGTGAAGGGAAATCTTAATGCCCTTTCCAGTTTCAGCATGACAATACCCCCGTGCACAAAGCGAGGTCCATACAGAAATGGTTTGTCGAGATTGGTGTGTAAGAACTTGACTGGCCTGCACAGTGCCCTGACCTCAACCCCATCAAACACCTATGGGATGAATTGGAACGCCGACTGCGATCCAGGCCTAATCGCCCAACATCAGTGCACGACCTCACTGATGCTCTTCTGGCTGAATTGGAAGCAAGTCCCCGCAGCACTGTTTCAACATCTAGTGGAAAGCCTTCCCAGAAGAGTGGAGGCTGTTATAGCAGCAAAGGGGGGACCAACTCCATATTAATGCCCATGATTTTGGAATGAGATGTTAGACGAGCAGGTGTCCACATACATTTGGTCATGTAGTGTATATCTATATGGAAGTAGTTTAGTGGGGGAAAAAAGGGATAAATATGGGTAAAAAAAAATACAAAAAATGTAATGATCTTTCATATCTCTCAGCTATAGGACAGACACTTTAAAACAACATTCATTTGTATTAATTGTTTTGACTATCTGTTTTTCTATGTATGAATCTGTTATTCAACGCGTTTCTATTGGCCAATAGTAGTAAGGCCAAATTCAATGTTTCATCAAATATTTATTATATATATATATTTTTATGGCTAAAGGGTTCCTAAAATGTAAAATCAAATAGCTAAATTATCCTTGGTATGACCATCTTAAAACAATTCCATACGTTAGCTTAGTAGAAGCCCCCCCCCCCCCCCCGTATTTACTACTCTATTAGTCTGTTACATTTTGATGTCTGTCAAACTAAATATGTACTGTCCTCCTTTTCCTCTTCTCCTGGTGCAGGTTGTTCATGAGATCGACTCCCTCACGTGTGACCTACAGCTGGAGGAGGAGATGACGGACAGTTCCAAGACAGACACCCTGAACAGCAGCTGTAGCAGCAGCACCACCACAGCCTCCAGCATCGACAAGATCAAGATCTACCCTGACGACACCATCTTTAGGCCCCAGTGTGTCCTGACCGTGCTGAAGAAGCCCCACCCTCCACTGCCCCCTCCCAGGCTGACACCCGTCAAAGCAGAGGAGCACAACCAAGAACCCACTATCGGGGAGCCTACTAGCCAAGGCTAACGGGACTCTTATGCGTAATGGAGTTTTCCCAGGGAAGCCAAACAGAGACTTATCGTGCTGCATCTCTAATAGTACAAAGGAAGAGAGACGACTTATGCCCATGCCTTTGCTACGGCATGAAAAGACCAAATGCCCCCAGGCAACCCGGGAGAGGGTCCGATTCAGTGAAAAGGTCCAGTATCACGGGTACTGCCCTGACTGTGACCTGCAATATGACGTCGACAACACAGATATGCACTTACAGACAGAATTGACCGATGACATGAGCCCTGTCCATCAGTGTTCCTCCTCCTCACCACCATCCCAGCTCATGTTAGAAAATGGCGGCCTCAGTGTCAGCCATAGTTTCCCTCCTACAAACCTGCCTTGTGTGCCTCATCCTAACCCTTCCCTGAAACCACAGAAAACCATCCTGCGAAAATCAACCACCACAACGGTTTGATGTTAATCACCCTTAATTTAAATATTTCTAAATAATTTATAGTGTTTTCTATTTCATGAGCATCTATTTCTACCCCAGTCAAACGTCGAATATCTAAACGATGAGGAAAAGAGAGATAGACAACGTGGCCATGAGCTCAGAAATGCACAAGGAGAGATTGAACGGTGAGGTGAGTGAGTGCCAACTAACAACTGTCTTGGAAGTGTAAGGGTTTGGCAGGATTGGGTTGAGAGGTGTGAAGTAACATTGTATCATATTTTTTAAAGAGATTTTCAGAAACAAGAAGCTGTGTTAGAACATGTCATTAATTTATGCTCTGGGTTAAACAACAAATCTAGCTTGCCTCAAATCCGGCCGCTGACCCAAAGATTCTACAGTACACCTCTGTGTATAGGGTTGAGACAGTAATGGAATGATGGCATATAGTATCTTTTATCACTCAATATTGCTTCACTGCCACACTTCACTTCTTGAGATGGGGAGGGTGTCACACTGCTGAATCTAGAGCAACATCTACTGGTGGCTTAGGCTATAGGAAGATGGAATAGAAATATAGTCACATTGAATTTAGCTTACGAAAACAAACCATGTCAATTCTCCCATGGTGGACTGGACATACACTATTCAAAAGTGCACTCAAGTGCTCAGATGTTTTGAGGTTAAATCTTAGTTAGATGTATTACCATTCAACAGATGTTGGTATTTTTTAATCTTAATTTACCATACATTTATAGAACTGTAATTAAACAGTAGTGCCCGTGTGTCGGTGGTAGGGCTTTATTATGTTATTGTGTCATTCAAAAAGGAATGATCAAAAGGGTATGAAAGCACAAAGCATTTCAGTGCCTGGAATGGAAGAAATTAGGCATACCCTGGAGGTGGATGGAAATAGGAGCATCTCCTACTAGCAAGCCTTCTAATTAGCAAGATTAGGCTATTACCGTGCTGATAACATGATTTCATACTGCCTTTGTACCAACACAAATGTTGACAATGCTCTAAAGTAGACATGGGAAATCGATGTGTATGTGAAATGTGTGTGAGTCTGTGTGAACAAAGACAAAAAATGGGGTGTAAATGCTGGTGAGATTCAACGCATGATGTCTTTGCTCTCATGGACAAGCTTACTAACCACATTCAACATTTAGATAGGGATTGGTGCTTATTCAAGCATTTTAAATAAACAGAAACATGAAAAAAAATATTACAAACATGAGGAATGCCATGAAGGATGTAGCGATATCAGCTCATGCCCTGCAGGCTTGTGCGCCTGGTCGCATTGTGGATGAGATTAGTAAAAAACCTTTTATTTTGGAGAAATAAAATAAATGTGTTTACCTTCATCAAGTAGTACAGCTCTATGTATGTCATATTGAATACTAACAAATTAAGAACAATTCCCTTGAAATACATAAATGCATAAATGTACTAAATGGAAATGGGCGTCGTAGGGTGATCAGAAAAGGGCTTCCACAAGAGTGTGCCCACACCAGAACCATATATAGAGATATCTATCGCAAAGATGAATCCCACCCACCCACCCAGCTACAGTACATATTCTGCATGTGCCTGTGGGTGGGAAACTATTCTAGACATTTAGAATGCTGGTGTAAAACTTATTGTGCAAAACTCTAACATCCATTGAGCTGATGGTTCAAAATTCTGATTGACATCATTGCTTGCCGCCTGGCAACGAGGAATAGGCATAGATGTGACACAATTACAGTTGTGCCAATTAACAATTAGCTATCATACTCTGCCATATCGTACTACAGTGTCAGACACAATTGTTGATATACTCAACATTAATCATTTGGTTACGTCTTTAATTTCAATTGGATACATGCTTCCTAAAGTGAAATAAAGTGAAAAGACATGAAATAAAATGGAAAGTGAAATATGGCAAGAAAAATAATACAGTTTTGTTCCAGAGACGTTCCATCTATAATGGAGATATCAAAATAGTGCTCACCTACAGTACATTATCAAAACATAAGAGCGCTAATAATCAATCTTATACATATTAGGCATGGAAAGGTGGAATGACGGAAAGGGAACGTCCTTTTTCAGTCATTCGTGTGTGTGTGTGTGTGTGTGTGTGTGTGTGTGTGTGTGTGTGTGTGTGTGTGTGTGTGTGTGTGTGTGTGCGTGCGAGAGAGGAGAGAGAGAGAGAGAGAGAGAGAGAGAGAGAGAGAGAGTTTTGAGAAATGTTCTGAAGCAAACTTAATTTGAGATTATTATGCTCCTTTGGAGACTATTAAAAGGAGAAACATCAGCTGCATCTCGTTTTTTAAGGTAAACAATATTACAATTGGGACTTGTTTGTTTTTCAAATGGTGACACATCTGTACAGATCTACACTCAAGAATTTGTCAAGTGGAAGAATTGGCCAAGAGACTATGAAGAATGTACGAAACACACACAGTTCCTCTGTCTGCCACTTGTCACATGTGAAAATGCAGAAGCTTTTGTCACCCAGAAACTGTAAAGAAAGGGACAGTATCAACATTCTACTATAATATGTAATCGCCATTTAAGTAAACCATTTGAATTTGATGATTAGATAAAGATAGCCCAATATTTAGTCAAAGTACAAGGCATTCAAGTTGAACAACATCTGTGAGTTAGAAATTGTAAGGTTCCAACCACATACTGGATGATTGATTATTGACATCAAAAACATAAGAGAATTCACAATGTACTATTTTGTTCACTCTTTTTGTGATTTGATGAAGACATTAGCATAATGTAGCCTTGAATGCTCTAAAAGGAATTGTGCAATAATGTTCTGACCAAAAAAACATCCCCATCCTTTTATTTGAATTGTGGTCATGTTCTTTTGTAATCTGTTCATTCCCATGGCTGCTGCTGTTATGCAAGTTCAATTGCATTTCCCTCTTCCTATCAGAATGCTCTCATTAATGTGTTTTCCTTGTTTCCCCTGCAGGTCCTTCTGGGTAAGAGTGGAAACAGCCTTTACTGACATGAAACGGATCAATTTTGGTTCATCATACAGTCACGGAGAACGAGGCTCCCTACCTTTGACAGAACACCCCAGATCCCCTGAGCGACGGCCAAATAATTCATCCTCACAGAGCATCGGAAGAAATAATAGCACAGTCTTATTCATGGGAGAAGTATGGTAGAAGTTCAAATGTAATGCAAACATAAGATGAAAACATTGCATCCAAGTGTGACTGGTTCATTTACAATTGAAATGGAGATTCTATGTATAATCATAGGCAGTGGAATTACTGATGACCCAGCATTCTGAGAACTCTGGGAAGTCTGCTTATAACAGACACTCCTGTTGAAAGTGTGTGTGAGAAAGAGAGAGAGAGAGAGAGAGAAAGAGAGAAAGAGAGAGAGAGAGAGAGAGAGAGAGAGAGAGAGAAAGAGAGAGAGAGAGAGAGCGCGAGAGAGTTAGAGCGCGAGAGAGAGAGAGCTCGAGAGAGAGAGAGAGAGAGAGAGCGCGAGAGAGAGAGAGAAGAGAGAGAGAGAGAGAGAGAGAGAGGCCAAACTATGTTCATGTTACTTTTTTTAAACATCATTTGAACAAGAACAGACACACTCACATAATTGTATGTGTTGGTCACAGGTTCTTGTGAATTGTGAGATATTAGACATAAACAGCCAGTAAAATCTGCTGGTCAAGATTTGGTTATCTGCAGTGACTGCTCTTAAGATACAGGAACATGTTGCAGCTTCTAACTTCAATACTGTAGGGTGTGAAATACATAAATGTGTCATATTGCAATCCAACATACAATATGAGGCAAGTTAAATGGCTAAAATATAGGAATTGAGGATGTTCACTAATTTGTGTTTGGAATGCTATGTTGACATTTTATTGGTATATATTTATATATTTATAAAACTTTTCTACAGAGATTGTAACATTTAAAAAGAGGATATTTTTTATATTCCGTGGGATGAGAGGAGTGTTTTAAAGAAGGCTGTCCTACTTCTGAAAATACATGTGTCTCTGCAGGGCATATCTGGATAATGTACTTCTATAGTGAGAGAGTATATATATATATATATATATATATATATATATATATATATATATATATATATATATATATATATACAGTGCCTTCGGAAAGTATTCAGACCCCTTGACTTTTTCCACATTTGTAAAATGGATTAAATCGTTTTTCCCCCTCATCAATCTACACACAATACCCCATTATGACGAAGCAAAAACAGGTTTTTAGATTTTTTTGCATATGTGTTTTTAAAAAAAACCCGGAAATATCACATTTACATAAGTATTCAGACCCTTTACACAGTACTTTGTTGAAGCACCTTTGGCAGCGATTACAGCCTCGACTCTTCTTGGGTATGACGCTACAAGCTTGGTACACCTGTATTTGGGGAGTTTCTCCCATTCCGCTCTGCAGATCCTCTCAAGCTCTGTCAGGTTGGATGGGGAGCGTCGCTGCACAGCTATGTTCAGGTTTCTCCAGAGATGTTCGATCGGCTTCAAGTCCGGGCTCTGACTGGACCACTCAAGGACATTCAGAGACTTGTCCCGAAGCCACTCCTGCGTTGTCTTGGCTGTGTGCTTAGGGTCGTTGTCCTATTGGAAGGTGAACCTTCGCCCTAGTCTGAGGTTCTGAGCGCTCTGGACAAGGTTTTCATCAAGGATCTCTCTGTACTTTGCTCCGTTCATCTTTCCCTCGATCCTGAGTAGTCTCCCAGTCCCTGCTGCTGAAAAACATCCCCACAGCATGATGCTGCCACCACCATGCTTCACCGTAGGGATAGTGCCAGGTTTCCTCCAGACGTGACACTTGGCATTCAGGCCAAAGAGTTCAATCTTGGTTTCATCAGACCAGAGAACCTGAGAGTCTTTAGGTGCCTTTTGGCAAACTCCAAGCGTGCTGTCATGTGCCTTTTACTGAGGAGTGGCTTCCGTCTGGTCACTCTACCATAAAGGCCTGATTGGTGGAGTGCTGCAGAGATGGTTGTCCTTCTGGAAGGTTCTCCCATCT